AATGATCAGTTTAGAGGGGTAAAAGTAAAAGGGAGGGGGATAGTTTAGGTTCCAGATACGCGGTGAGAAAAAGAATGACATAGTTTTCACAATGTTTACGAGAAACTTTATTAGGCCTTTTTTAGACCAAATGTTCCACAAAAACAATGGTTTTTTTAAATTTGACATCATTTGGCTCTCATGAACTTTGACACTTTATGCATAACTAAAGAACCCCAAGAGGACACTGCTCCACCATTAGGTCATATTTTACAAAAATTTCAAAAAACACTGTCATTTTTACAAATTCACAGACATCTCCCTTCAAAAAACCTCCCAACAACTTCTTCAAAACTTTAAAAAGTAAAAAACTGTTCCAAACTGACAAACCTTTTAAAAACCCTAAAGACATGGTTAGTTATTCATGTCTGCAGGAAAGTCGTGTTTACATCGTTACATCCAGAACAAGACAACATGTCATGTGCAATGGTAAAACTCGTTACGCGGAACTAGAAATGTTGAGAACGATGGCCTTTTTCATTCGGACAGACTTTTCAAGAAAGTACTCAAATTTATTTATGGCAGCGGTCCCCAATTACCAACGTTCCACTTCGTATCAACAAAAATAGGCAGTTGGATGACATTGGTAAAGACAACAAGTTTAATTTTACTAGTTATTGCTTCAGAAACTTTAAAATTTAATATTTTATAAGTTTTAAAAAATTTAAACTAAAAAAACGGCAAAATTGGAAATCCAAAACGTCAAATTCAAACCCCTAAAATTTTTTTTGAATCGTCTATCAAAGCCACAGTATTTGCAAAGTAAATAAAGCCGAATAAAGTTATCCAGGAGTGCACACAATCCTTGAAAATTGATACTAATAATCTCGAGAAGAATAAACAAACAATTATTAATGAAACAAACATCAAAATAAGCCTGAATAACAACGTCTAATTACAACTTTTAATTAATCCTAGCTGCTTCTATAACAAGGAAAACAAGTATTGGGAATGGCAGGTTTAAAGTGCCAGAGGGTGACAAAACACTTGTAAAAGATTAGGAAGCAAAAGGTATAGTAAACAGTAAGGTAAAACGCAAAGATCATGTACTGAAATAGTGTTATTGATAATGAAAACAATATTAATGATTAATACCTCAAGTTTTATAGATTTCACCTTGTCCACGATATACGGTAAAACGCTTTGTTCTCTTAATTTTACAGCGTTTTAAGATATAATACATTGTAAGTAACAAAAAACAAAAAAACTGTCAGAAACCAATTAAGCATCTTATCAGTTAAAATTTAAAAGTACAGTTATAAAACAGTACTAAACAAGCTGTTAAGCCTTATCTCTATTTGCCTATCAAAAAATGCACTTTTCAAGTTGCTGTTACACTCACAACTACCTATTTCACAGCAAAAAAAGATCTTCATGCCAATATTTACCCTACCTATTCAAACGAAAACAAAATATATATTACACTTGACTACTGCAGACCCGGCTTAATTTTTTGTAACACAAAAACAACTATTTATAAAAATGTCCAATTAAAAACATCAAAACACTAATTTAAATTACTACGGTAATCCTTCTCATTATCGTGCCTAAATTGTAATGTTTGAATGGTAACCAATGTTTTGCCGTTAACTTGGAAGTAGACTGCAATTGAGTAATAAACAATCCAAAATATTTACAAATAATATTACTACAAGAGCCTAATCAGTTCCGCGTTTGTTAAAGTAGGTATCACTTGAGTTTTTTTGATAAATTTTCGCAATTTTAAGTATTGGCATTTTAACAAAAATATATTAACATCTTATAATAGATCTATAAGTCTACTAAATAATATGATTACACTAAAGAGCAGGTTAGACAAAAGAATACATATAATGTATAATATGTATTCTTTATATCTTCACGTATAAACTATATCTTGTGAAACAGACATATATATATATATATTTGTCAAAAACATTCCAAGAATTCCAAACTGTTTAAAAGTAAAGTTAACACAATTCTCTGCAACACACGAATCTCTCACAATGACGTATCACTCATCGTACCCGCCAGTACATTCAGTAGTAGGCCCCAATGCTCAACGTCGTCCCGAAACACTTCTTTCGATAGTATCTAAATTGAAACACAAAAAAGAGAGAAAAGACTCTTCCCGGAAGCATTTTGAAGCCCAAAAATGAACACAGAGTCTCGAAAATGCCGCCGAGCACCGTGCTCTCCCCCATAAAACGCTAAAGATTACATTTTACGGGCCGTATCCGCTGCCAATGTAAAAAGTGACCTAACTTTTAAAAATGATCTTTTAAAGCAGTATGTTATTTTTAAAAATTGAAGTTTTTAAATTATCAAACTTAAAAAAAATAAAAATTTAATTTAAAAGAAGCAAAAATAATCCATGCCTTTATGTAAAATCACATTTTTACAAAATTTTTAATTTTCTACCTTCCATAATATCATAAAGACCAAAATATCCTCAAAACCCAGAAAAGATTTTCGAATTCGAACGCCAGAATCCTTTTCTCGCCATACGTGGTTACAGTAACCCGTTCTCTTTCGCAAAATAATTTCTATTGATTCTTGTCCGCGTTTCCGGGTATTTTGTCTGGATATGCCCAAATTTTATAAAAAAACAACGAGGAAGTGACAAAAAAGCCAGAGAAAGACTTCGCCAAAATTAGAGATCCCCGGGATTAAACCACCTCAGGGCCTGTCTCGCTTGTTGACGGTGTGACAGTTGTAAAAGCTATCGTTTTTAGATTGTAATATACTTTATACAGCGACTGTTTTAGGGTGGAAATATAAAAAAAGTAGAAATTTCAAAACATAAATTAGTATTATCAACAACAAACTAAACCGAGCCGTTTATAGTCATCAAAGGCAGTTATAACCCTCTAAAATAGTCAAATGCAAGTTCATAAAGTGATGCTATTCAACACCCTTCTACTGCTTTTCTTTTCAGTACGGCGCAACTTTCATGTGACATCCTGGGAAGTGACAAAAGTAAAAAAAAACAAATTCCTCTAAGAACTCGTGACAATTCCAGAATTGGAAACATTCGGAAGATAAACAGATGCCACGAAGATACCAATTTGCCTGTTTACTAGAACGTTCCCTACCCAAAACTTATAATAGTTTTCAATTTTATAAGGCATGTGTAATTGTCAATTATATTAATATAAACCTAAACATACTATTTAGTTTTACTTTATGATGTAATGCTTACAGCCATTTGTAAGCCAGAAACTATTTAAATGAAGCTTTATTTATTAAAGTCATCATGTTTACTGTGACTCCCAAAGTCTACCTTCGTCAATAATTCACTCTATAGTAAGCTGTAGAGCTCTACAGCTTATTACAAAATTCAGAAAAAAGATTATCTTCTATGACATTCAGCATGATAACATTTTAATTTTAAATGCGCATAAATGTATATTTTTGGATGAAATTAAAATTTTAGATTTCTTCCAATTTTTCTCTAAACTTAATTAAACTGTTCATATTACGAAACTAATAATTACATACCTAAAAAATAAACAAAAATTAGAATAAAGTCCCCCTTGTCAACCCTTTTGTTATGTAAACTACAAACACAAAACCAAATCCAAAAAAAAACCGATAAAAGGTTTTCTAGTGCTTTTTAATTTAATTTTAAAAATTTAAATATAATACAGTGCAACTCCAGTGTAACGATCTCCTCTGTCACAAAATAAAAACAACAAACGAGTTTTAAATCCCCGAAGAATTCGTTATACAGGAGTACTACAGCATGAGATTTGTTTTAATACATAACAAAAAACTGAAAAATTGACAATAAACAGCAACAAGATGGTTGTGAAACAATTGTAACCTATGCTTTACGATACTCAATTATTGATTATCACTAGAAAACGCCCAAACAGTTAATCAAACTGTAAGCCTTTTTTTGTTGTTTTGAATGTTCAGATATAGAAAAAGTTTTGACATTTTATAAAAAGTATGACATATCATTCCATATTTTCCTTTATGTTACTTTACCGTTAGTTTACTTTGATATTGTCTGTCAGAGCTAAGTGGTTGTAAAGAACTTTTAAATTCATTAGAATGTAGTGTAAATTTCTGAAGAATCACAAACAACACAAAATACAATTTTATTTTTACAATTTTAAACAGAAAACTTCAATTTTAAATTTAAATGTTGCATTTTACAATTTTTATCTTTAGATACATTTTAAAACGGAGCCTACATTTCTGAGAAGCTGTGTGAAGATTTTGAACATCAAGGTCAAAATATTTACAACATGTTAATGTTGGTATTGCAAGAGCCTTGAAGAAATAGTCAACGTTTGTGTTTTACTTTATTGGTTTAGCGCTAATTAGGATTTTTGTATTATTATATTTTAATTTGGTGCTTTCATTCTTGCTGCAAGAAGTAATATTTGTATATGTTATGTTATATTTAGTCTATATTTATCCGTAAACCTTTAATATACTGTAAACCTCATTACTCACCCAAATTGAAAATTACCACGTTGTAAAATTACGATATGTCAGTAAATACGCAATTACTTTGGTTTCTATAAATTGCAATTTGAACACGCAACTGTTCCAAACCTAATACAGACAAGAATCAACTTGTAGCTTTCTCGGTAGGCACAATTCGTTTATAGTTCCTTTCCTGATCTTTATTGTAGTTTTCTGGATTTCTTGCATTTAATTACTAAATAGTATTTAAACGTAACGTTATGAAAGATCTACAATTTTATATAATACCATTTCCGTGTTCTTACCTTACCCTAAACCTAACTAAAATTTTTAGAAAGCTTTTTAATGCCAAAGCAGACTTTTAATTGATGTCTTCATTTTGTCGCGTATTATAATTACAGTGCTTAATTTTGTTTTAAACAACAATTATTATACTCAAATTCTTTCTAGATAACGTTCATCTAATTACAGAATTTTACATAGTAATATGCTCACTACTGGGTTGTGTCTATAATATTATACATATAGTTAGTATAGTTAACATGGCCAAAAATTCCTATGCTTGGGAAAACAGTTCTTACAGTAGTGATTCTACAGTATCTACAGAGTTGTACGATGTTTGTGTTCGTATCAGCAAGGTATCACATTACTGCGCCTTTACTTCTGGAATGATATTATCGCTTACTTTGGCTTGTCTTATTATGCAAAGGACTGATACAATATTCAAGACTTACAAAACTATGTTGATATTCAACTGCTTTACGGATCGACAGTTCTTGGTTGTCGGGTTCTTGTGCCAATTTGTAAGTTTTTATTGTAATGATCATTTTTGTAATCTCAAATATTCCAGACGTTCCGATTAAACGAAGGCGTAGCCTTAGCATCAATAGAAGGCCCGGCTTCTGCTTTATCGTATACTGGTCAATCAGTAATTACTGGTATCTTTGCTGCATCTCTAGGCGTCGTTATTACAAGTCTGCCAGCTAATTATTGTTATCGTTATCAATATTTGAAGCAGTAAGTTTCTAAAAAAACTTGCAAAATTTTTGTTTTTACCACTTCTGAATACAAAATTAACTACAACATTTTATCAAATAACACTTGTAACTAACATTGCATAGTTAAAAAAATTATAATATAAAGTATGACAATTGATATAACACATATTTTAGCTCCACACCTCCCAAAATTCATCGCCTTTTGTTATTATACGTTATATCGTACCTAGTTGTTATACCGGTCGGTTTCTTTACAGCATATTACTTTAACCAAAGCGGATTAGCTCGTCCACACTTTAATTACGGGTCTTTATGGTACAACACTCAGCCTCTACCCACGCTGTTGGTGATGGATTTTGTAAGTCTTTGTTTTGTACATTAATATAAAAACAAAATACTATATTATAGTATTAGTTGATACGAAAAAATAATTAGCTTATCACTTACTCAAAGCATAAGTAATCGCGCATCAGTTTTTGACTATTATGATATCTTTTTAGACTAAAATATTGTAACCCTTGCAATTACAGTAATATAATTGTACTTTACAGAGCATAATTGGCCCACGCCTTCACATCGCTTATTGTTTTGTTTGTTTTGGCGGCGCTTGTGTACTTGCATTAGGATTTGCACTAAAAACTTTAACGTACTACACAGAACACGAGAAGCTGCTAAACACACGATCACTCAGACTACACTCACAGTTGTCAAAAGCTTTGCTGATACAAGTAAGTGAACACGTAAAACATACTAACATGTCGCACAATAGCTTAAATTTCAATATCTCCCAAATCCCCCACAATTTCACACTGTAATTTCGCAAATACCGTACCAGTTACACCATTATAAAATTAACTTACCATATTTTCAGTCTAGCCTCCCAATGATAGCATCTATGGGTCCAAGTGTAATAATCATCGCAGCCATCTTATTCGGCTTGGACTGTGGAGTACTAACCATACTCATGTTCAATATTTATGCCTTTGTGCCCATTCTGAACCCATTGTGCACAATCTTTGTCATCAAACCTTTTAGAAAAGAAGTTCTGAAACGATTTACCAACAGAATCCCACAAGAACCCAGCTTTCTTCAATCAAAAACCAGGGTATCCGACAAGATACCAACAATCTCATCAAAACACGTCTACGGCCGCGCTTCTTCAAGTATTTTGTCACGGAAGTCGACGTGAAAGTTATCACAACACATTCAGGACACACCAAATTATTATATAATTTGTTTATTTTAAAAAGATAAGCCCATATGAAAAAAAATTAAAGTACCAATCACAAACGTTAATGTAAAATATCTTGATTCAAGATACAAACATATGATCCATAAAAATAAAATCATCAGTTAAAATTTTTATTTTTTCGTTTTCTTTAAGTTTTACACGATTTATAATTATGACATTAGTATTAAATTATTACACAATCGTTGGTACAAAATGAAAAGATATGTGAAATGAGATTTGATCCGTTAAGATGATAGACCCATAATTGACAACCCTTTGGCATCCGCGTTCGTATAATTTAAAATTCTTTCAAGCTAAAACCGAGTAATTAGTTGTACTATAAGGATAATATGGTAAAGCTAAAGATAGTTTTAAAGTGAAAAAAAGATTTGAATTTTAAAGTAGAATCTAAAATATTAACTATAGTATGGTATAAGAAAGAAAACTTCAAAAAAAAAAACAAAATTTTGAAAATATGACCAAAAGATACGACTCAAGTCAGTAAAGTTAATGTAAAAGAAACTGACTACTTGTCAAAGTTAGGACACTTGTGTTTGGTCGTTGGGTATTGTTTGTTCATTCTGGAGATGAAAGACTTCAGAACATGCCAGAACGGCTTCCTTATCGTGTCACGTGCTTGATTTGTGAGTTTCAGTTCTCCGGGCTCTTTGTAGCCCAAATGGTACATGAACACGTCTTCCACGATGGCAAACTTATAGCCGGCGCGACACATTTCCCACCTCTAAAGTCATAAAGATAAGATATTACCCAGATATTGCTGTTTGTTAATTCTAACTCAAATTCTAACAAACAAAGTTTAGAACCCTTACCAGCACAGTGTTATCTCTCAAAGGATAAAGAAAGGTCTCATCGTGAAGTGGAATGTTGGTCGAAGATACAAACTGAGGCTCCCAAGCTGGATTCGTGTACCTAAAAAATAAACAATGACAAAAGTTTAAAATAAAAGCCCCAAAAATTTTCAAAAAGTTAAAAATATTAACCATGCTCTAAAAGTTAACAAATATTTTAAAAAAAAGTTCACTTGAAACCCTTTCCTTCAAAAAAAATTACAAACGCACTGACCGAAAAAACGATCTATTACACAAGTCAAAACCCCTTCCCTCATCCTCTATACTCTTTTTATCAATATAAGAGTATAAACGTACGGTTTGTAGAACTGTATCCCGACCTCATCCTTCTCTGGTTTCATAAACCATTCGTAGAGTTTGGGAATGTTGTGAGCACCATAGTACTTGTGGAACTCTTGAGCATTGTAACTCAAGAACAACCTGTGAAGATCCTCTTTTGTCTTAGGCTGGGTTTTGGCTTGATCTGACACTTCGAATATTCGATACACCAATACAGCCTTGGGACTTTCGGACAGCACTCTTTTGGCCAAAGTTCTCATTTTGAGTTCAAAGTCTTTGGAGAAAAAGTGATCCATATCTGCTGAGAGAATGTAGTCTGTCGAGACAAACTAAAGTAATAGTTCCAGTAAATTTTAAAAAAACTATTTTTTATGAAACTTTTTTTGATACTGTAATACAGTAAATCATCTAAAAGTTCTTAAAAACACTAAAGCTTTCTACCAAAACCCACCTTTCTGGCCACATTTCTAGCCTTATTCACTGGATATTCCACCATTCGCTTTATTTGTTGATTGTCAGAAAGTTTGGGCCTCATAATCGCGCATCTATCGTACTGATGACCAATTGTGAAGTTTCGTAAAACAAAGTCTTCACATGTCACGCCCTTCACAATGAAATGAACGCTCAGCTTTTCCGACACATCTTTGTCCATTAATGCCAGCCTTTGTAACTAAATTTTAGGTAACAACTCTCAGAAAACATTATAAATTTATCGTTTGTAACATTTAAAAATACCCTAAAGCTTATTTAATAATAAAATTACCTTGCTAATCGCACAGTTAACGTAACTACTGTTTAGTTGAGTTTCCTCAGGAAATACCACAGCTATAGAGATTGGTCCGTCCCAGTTTTTGGCCTGAAATAACATAAATAAATTTTTAATAAAATTTCAAAACTAACGTAACACCATGTAAAAACAGTAGCATGTAAAGTAAAAGCAAATAGTAGTACAGCATATAAAAAAGAGCAAGTTACATGTTCAGCCAACTTTTTGGTGTTCAATCTGTCACTTGACATGTGTAAAATCAACGTGATCCTGTCAGTTTCATTGATTTTGCCTTGGATAATGTTTGCTGCTACACAATATTCATCGTTAGGCATCGTTCTAAAATAAATTCAATTTAGCTCATATCAAAAAGATGAGAGAATACGCAATTTCAATATAAAGCACCAATCTTATCTCAAACCAAACACAAATTTTAGGTAACAAATTCATAAAAACATAACACTATAGTTGAAGCAGTAAAACCTACCGTATCCGTACTTGCTGAATCTCTGTGATCTCCTGCATGTAGATGGCCGACCGTTCTGCTCGACTGTGAACAATCTCATCACTTGTAGCATAATTCTGTCTCAATTGTAACACTCCAACCAACGCGAAACAAGCAAAACAGACGTTCCTCAGCATTTTCAACTTCGACATCCAGACACTTCGACTTCACAAAAACAAGAATTTCAAATCCAGAATACAGTAGTTTTTGCCAATTCAAAAAACACAGTAATCTTTTCCCCTCCAGATGATACTGTAACCAATGTCAATAAGTAAATCAACTTCAAAAGTGAGCCCTGATCAAAAATGTAAATATGGCAAATCTTCAAGTAGTAAAAGTTGTAAAGTCAGTAGGCGTTATTGTTTATTGTCGGAGAGTTAGGCAGTGAATGGTGTTAAGGTTAGTGGTGTGATCTCCGGCAGAATCACCTGAAATTCCAAGATTATTACAATACCGTAAACAATGTTAAAATGTGACAATATAAGCAAAAAACGCGCAACCTAACACTTTTAGCAATAACTAACTATTTTCAAACAATTTACTATATTTTTCATCCAAAAACCATCAAATTAACAAACTTTTGACATTAAAACATTGTCTACACGCAAATAAATATGTAAAACAAATATTTTAATTAAAGCACGACCACAACAGTAGTAAAAAGCACGTATAATACTATCATAAGCATCATAAGACCAAGCATAAAACAACATACTATAAAAGTCCAAGTTTAGTCACCAGATGTTTGTCTCCGACCGCCAAATAAATAATTGCCGAACGCCAAAAAATAAATAAAAACGGCCGAAATTAGCAGAAAATTCAGCTGAAAGCAATTCCAGAAGTGTGATGAAAGTAATTCTGTTAAAGTAATGTCCTAAAGCTAACTTTTGACACTCTTATACTACCTACAAGTTTGTTACCTACTAAAACATAGTAGTATTATCTATGTAACACAAAATGAATAATGTCAAAAAAACACTAAAAACATTTTTCATCACCAATTAACCGTACGCCAACCCCCATATATACATAAAAAGCCTTGATAATACTTGGGTGTGTCCCCCAGGATTGTATATTATACTTGGTTCCGTTTGGTTGAATAATCTCGAAATTGGCGAAAACCACAAAGATAAAGTAAGTCAAAAAAGGCTGACTACACTACGTTTTTAAAGGAAAAAGCATGATACGTTAGTGTAAAATGTATAAACGAATATATATTATTCATGTTACATATGACATAATCATTCCGAATCAAGTTTTATATTAAAAATATAAATAGAACCACACAAAACAAAAAGCTATATACTTTGGCAATACCATATGTAAAGAATATGATAAAATTATAGATATTATTCAAGATATACACCCATTATGAACCCTCATCTCAAACAATATAGAAAAAAATAAATCTTGACATTGTTCTCAGACAAACCTCAAAAATGCAGCTTTTCCACAAACTTTCACCTACACGAAGCTGATAACAATGCAATCGTGAAAGGACGTCATCACGAAGACAACTTGTGTTTTGATGCCCAAACTTTATCAACATCATCAGTTTGTAGACTAATAAAAGCTTTGAAAATTTACCAAACATGTTAGATGACTTTGTAATTTATGTAAAATTAACAAGAGTAGCCAATAATGTCCTCAAAACGTAGGTAACATACTTAAAAATCGCAAAAGTTTCGTCTTTTCCGTGATATACCTAAAACAACTTGGACAAAAGTCGACGTAAAAAGCTGTAAAACAATATTTTCGTTAAGAAATTTGTAAAAACAAACAATTACAAGCCCATTTTGCTCAAAAAACTATAACACGTGCCACTTTCAACTCAAAAAAAGAAAAATTTGCCGACAAATTATAAAAATGGAAAAACAACAACATCGTCCAGAAAATCCGTCATCACTGACATGATTTATAAATGAATATTTTCTGTTTTGAAAATAAGGACAAATTTTTGTTTGTTGAAGTATTCTCAAGGATAATTGGTAAGTATTGTTAAAGTTGTTGTGAAACTTATCAATATTGGTCAATGTAAAGTAGGTAAACTGTTTTTACCCAAAAATGTTTCGGTTTTTAACAGTTTAGAGAGACGTTTTGTTACGAATGAAGGTGGAATTGATAGCTACTCATTTCTTATTCATTGTTGCACTGTCCGTAATCTTAGATCCGGGTTTTATTTGTTTCTGGAAAGTGATAAGGGCTAAAATGATTTGTTGTGATGGATAATATCGAGGTTTCGGCTAAATAATTCATGATAACATATGTGCAAGTCAAAAATGTCACGAAACATAACAACAAACTTTATTGAAAATGTATTAAAGTATATTAAGGAAGCTTGTTAATAAGAATAAAATTGGTTTTAAACATATCTGAAGTTAGTTTGTCTGAGAAACATTGACTAATTTGGACTTTGAAATTAAGAACGTTTGCTGTGACTATAACATATTTAAGTGAGCCATACTGTTTGTAATGACTAAAGTTTAGTAAACTCTTTTCTCCAAATAATTTAACAAAAAGAATTACATTTTTTAAATATGAAATATTCTTCAAATTGATCTATGACAATATATAGCGCACATGTCAGTCATGTTACGAAGACAATAATAATTCTATAAAAATTATGATCAAAAATAGCTTGAGAATCACTGTTTTCTGAAAACTTGATGATAAGAATTGAAAGTCTCAGCAACTTCGTCAATTGTTTTATTATCCTGCGTGGGCTGAATTAGAAAAAGATGATAATGTTGTTGTAGGAGTTACATTTTTGGTACAAAATTTGAATTTTGAAATTGAATATTCTAAGACTAGTTTAAATGTTGCCATGTGATGATAACTTTAATTTCTGCAAATCAGTCATTTTGAATTTGTAGTTTCTGCTGATAACATTGTCACTGACATAAGGGTTAAGTAGCTTATCATTACTGTTTTTTATATTCTTGTATGTCTCAAAAAACACAAAGAAAATTGTACTTTACTGCTTCTGCTCGTGATACAATATCTGTGGAAAATATTGATAAATCTTGCCTTATCTTTAGTTAACGTTAGGTTAAGAGAATAAAATTAAAAGTTCGAAAATAAGTTTTCAAATATTAAATTATGTCTAAAACCAAAAATAATTTATTTCAGTAAATAACACGATTCTTTAATTAGGTAATAAAACTAATAGGTCATGGCTTTGTCATAGTCAAACATGAAACGTAGCGCTGCCACAAACTTTCGTGCTTGAAGTTGGTCTTCGTCAGGCAGACTGAAGATTATACCTCGGGTAATTACTTTCACTTCACCTAGTCGCTTTTTATGTCTTAGTTCTTGGATATGGCCTTTCTGTTCCATTGTAAGTGATTGTACTGCCCTGACCAAGCTTTCTGGAGGACCATAATCTTGCAGTAGTTGTAGCGCTCGGCTTTGTGTCTAAAAAAGCAGGCTTTACTTCTTGTGTCTTCTTTTAGGAATGGGTGGTTTAATACAATATTTTTATTCTATTTCTTGTTTTTTATTTGATTACCGTTGAAGTATTTTATCTTAAACTGTTCATCTGTTCATGTGTGTCCTAATAACTGACCTTTTCGTCCAACTGAAATACGTGTGGATAAATGGCGTCTAATATTGAGGCAACGTCAAATGAATCTGCGTATTCGGATATTCTGTTTACCTCGCTTCTAGTTAAATTCATTGCCTGTATTACTTTAACTGCAGTTGCCATGTCTTCAGCATCTACAAGTTGTTTCATAATTGATTAATAATTGAAAATTATGTTACACAGTAATAAAAAGAACCAATTTTTTGAAAATTAGTAATTCATATTTTACCTAGCATGTAAGAGTCTTCAATTCCACAAATCGATCCGGATACTCGTTCTACTTTGACTAGTCTACCATTATTAATACTCATTACAGTTTTGGGGAAGAAGTCTGGAACTTTTTTTGGTTTGACAGTATCATCACGTTGAGGTTCTTGAACATCAGTGTAATAAGTGTAACTGTCTTGGCCACTAAAAGTAAATGCCTAACACGATAGGTTTTTTAAGTTTTAAACTCTATAAAAGTAAAATTATATTTTTAAATAGAATATTTTTATATTTTAGTGTTGGGTATTTTAATTTTGGGAAAGTTTTGTTTTGTAAAACGATTATTTTGTTGCGAAAAAATAACCAAATTGGACAAAAAAATGTTTCGACCACGGCAGGATTCGAACCTACAATCTTCGGTTCCGTAGACCGACGCGTTATCCATTGCGCCACGCGGCCACGCTTTCTCTTCCCTTCATTTTTCTTTTGGATTTTCCGGAAAATGAAATCGGTTAGACTTACCTCGAAAAGCGTGGAAGCACCCGGTTTTCATCGCTTTCTGATGGCGGCTGATAAGGTTTTGGCGGAAATTCAGGTAATGGCGGTAAAGTAAATATTGGAGCTTTACGAAACAGGTCTATTAATTGTTCTTGATCACATAAACATTGAGGAATTAGTAAAATTATACTGTAAATGGCCCAAAAATAGTGCATTTTGCAAGAAAATATAGTGAACTGAGTTTTTTAAAGGAAATTGAAAGTTTCAAAGGGAGTTAGACATTAGAAAGGGATAGTTTGAGTTGAACAACGTCTTTTTATGAATAAATTCTCGTTGCGCGCTCTTGAACTGCAATGAGGCGGCGAATGGACATGGTTATTATGCAAATTTCAAGGTCAGAGTTATTTGGTTTCAATCAAGGTAAACTTTAATTGAGGACACATTGAAATTTATTTGTTTTTTAAGAAATCTAATACAGTACTTTACCATCAAAGACGTCGTATAAACCTAAAAAATAAATAAAATTTTGTAAATTTGTAATAATCGATTTTAAAACTGTAAAGTACGTGTCAATTTGAGTTTTAATAACATTCAATAATAACAGCTTTTAAAATTAGTATTTACTTTGTTTCAGCATGAATGTTTGATGTCTGAGAAGTAAGTGTCCTTATTGCTATGGTAACTCTGACCACCAGTTCAGTTTTTCTTTCCAAAGCACCATACGCGCTTTCATTGTAGATAAACAAATCTTATAATGGTAAGGTGGAATATAAATAGTAATTTGTTTTGTAGCTGATATCACGCAAGAAGCCGACCTTCAAAAAGAATGCCGAAAAGAAAAAGATCGAGGCTCCAGAGTTGGAGAAGTTCTTGGACTCAAAGGATTATTCCGGAGCTATCTCACTTCTTGAGGTAAGGGAATTAAAAATTACATTTTAATAAATGTACATTGTGGTGTATCTTAATGTTGCGCAATCATATTTTAAATTTTGAACTTTTATGTTGTGTCATATTATAATTCTCTTCTTTTCTTTTCTTTATCTAAAAACATAAACTTCTAATTTTAGCACAAGCGAAAAACGACAGAAATTTTTTCCACCGAAGATTCTCTTTGGTTAGGGTACTGTGCTTATCATGCTGGAGATTTTAAAAAGTCGGCTGCCGCTTACAGTTTTGTGTTATCTCAAAGCGATGCTCCTAGCGAGGCATATGTATATCTTGGTTGTTCTTTCTTCTTCTTGGCCATGTACGAAGATGCTCGACAATGTGCTGAGAGGGCTCCAAAGGGACCTTTACAGGTATTTTTTAAATTTTTTTTTTTACTTTAATTGAATTAGTTTTTTACAATATTATTACTGAAATGTTATTAGAACCGACTACTCTTTCACCTTGCTCATAAACTGAAAGACGAAAAGAAGTTGATGCTACATCATTCACAACTCAAAAGTTCAACCGAGGATCGAATATGCTTGGCCGCTATGCATTATCTTCGAGAACATTATAAAGAAGCTATCGATGAGTACAAAGCGTTGTTGAAGGAGGATCTGTGAGTTTAATTAAATCAGTCAAAAAGCTTTTAATAGTTTTAAGTTTTGCATTTTATATCTTTGGTTCTTCAGCACTTTTATGGCCTTACATGTTTACTTGGGGTTATGTTACTACAAACTGGATTACTACGATGTTTCTATTGTAAGTTGAGAATATTTCTGATTTAAACATTATAGCTTTTATATTTTTTTTTGATTTGTTAATTTTACTTCAGGAAGTTGTTGACAAGTACTTGGCAGTGCATCCTGACAGTCCGATTGCTGTAAACTTGAAAGCGTGTAATCATTATCGATTATATAATGCCAGAGCAGCTGATACAGAATTGAAAAAGCTAAAGAACATAACGGCTAGTGAACTACAGTTTGGGAAGGATGTTATTGTGCATAATACTGTAGGCTACAAATTTTATTAACTTGTTCTGTACTGTGAACTAGTAACGTTGTTATGAAACGTTCAAAACAACATGGTACTTTTTAATGTAAACAAAATTTTAGGTAGTGTTTCGTAATGGTGATGGTGCTTTACAAGTACTGCCAGCTTTGGTTGACGTGGTTCCAGAAGCTCGTCTTAACTTATGCATCTATTATTTAAAGAAAAGTAGGGCTAAATAAATTTTGTACGATGGGGTTTAATATTGGAACTTAAACCACAATCTATGGCGGAATAATACTATTATATTACGATTATTGCTTTTAGACAACATAGACGCAGCGTTTGAGATGATGGAGAACAAGGACACATTTGGTCAGAACTCTTTACTACGTGCCATAACATATACGATGAAAGGATATGAAGAAAGAAATAAGGAGATGCTGGAAAGTGCTGCCAGGCTGTTTAAGGACTTTGGAGATACAGAATCTGATTGTGATACTATAGCTGGCAGACAAAGTATGGCTAGTGCTGAGTTTTTGTGGAGGCAGTTTGATCAAGCGTTGATATATTTAAGGTCGATCAAGGTATGTTTTTAATATACAGATCAATTATTTGACAAGTAGTGTAGTTTGCTTTGGGGGGGTTTTATGTATTTTACTGTACTTTTACGATGGTGTTTTAGAACTTTTTTGAATCTGATGAACTGTTTCATTACAATTACGGGCAAGCGTTGGCACAGTCGGGCGAATATGTTGAAGCTGAACAAGTTCTGGAGACTCTCAAAGATCCCGAATACATTCATGACATTTGCTATCTACTGTGTTTGGCTCGGTCTTGTAAGTTTTCTTAATGCCCCTTATGTTTGTATACAGAAGTTATAAGTTTGCTTGCATGTATTATCCAATAATTCACTTCAATATTTCTAATTTTAGACATAAAAAACGGCAAGTCAGAGAAAGCGTGGGACTTGTGTAAAAGTGGAGAAAATACTCATGACATTGTCAGGTTACTTCACCTTGTAGCCAACGACTGTTACATCGCTGAGAGTTACTATTACTCCTTGAAGGCGTTTGATCACCTACACGGTATTGATATTGCTGTCAATGACAACAAGATTATTAGTGCGAAGAAAGGAGCGTTTATTGGGGTGGTCAAGATGTTTTCCTGTGGTCGAGTTACATTGTACGTTTTGGTAGTTTTAAAGGTTTATCAATCTTTTTGAGGTTTTCAATTGCTACAAGTGATTATTTGGGATTATGTATAGTTGGTATGTTTGCGATAGGACTTTACACTTAACGTGAATGTTATTTTAGAGAAAACCTACGAGAATCTTTGAGGATTCTGGAGAAATCAAGAGAAATACCAAGCGTAGTCAATTGTATTCAAACTACAAAAACATGGCTTAACGAAGTTGGCGTTATAATATAACTAATTACTATGGTTATCATTTTTGTTAGTGGACAACAACTTTAAAATTGATTATTTTGTACAAAAAATATTAATTTGTTTCAAAAAAATGATAATTAAATATATAAAAATTTGATCAAAAGTTCATATAATTATATATATGGATGACTTTATATACAGTCGCACCAATTTAAAAAAATTAATACCGTTTTTACCACCGTAATATTCTACCGGTCTTTAGTGCCATCTGACTTGAATCTGAAACGAGCCGACTTTGTTTTATTGTTTTGTCGTACCGAAAGGCCTTTGGCGTAAACGGTTTATTGAAGAATACGGGGCGCGGGATGTTTTGGTCGTAAACGGCGATAAGAAACTCTTCTTCGGAAGAACCGTTCGCTGGCGAGAAATTTTGGCGTTTGATAACTGATTTCAACTTAAATAGGCGAGATCTTTGCTCGGCTGTCAAGGTTGATTCGGTTGCTGCAATTTTTGTTTTATTTTTGACATTTTATTATATAAATTCTGCAATCTATTATTAGAGAAAGGATAGGTAAGATTGATTAATATATACTGTATTTTATGTTCTTTTTGCAAATTCTTATTTTCTGAAGTTTCGTTTTATTTACTACTTGTTACCTTGTTCGAGTTGCAAGATGTATCTTGTTGTTTGATAGAGCCTAGGTAAACTTATTTAAACACTTGAATCTGGTCCTTAATTTAAAGTCGCTTGTTACACAAACAATGCTTGACACCTGTTTAACAAATCATGTTTTTGTCTTATCAGGTGTAGGAGGACAAACTTATGATTCATTTGATTTAGTGACGTGTGTACTGATATGTTTTTCACTAAACTTTTGTAATAAATGGCATAAGTACAGTTTATTTTTATAGTAATTGGTCAGCTTTTTACCTTTGCGGCATATTTTATTTGATTTTTTCATGGATTTAGCGAATATCTTATATTAAGGTAGCTTATGGTTAAAATTTGTTTGAATTTGATTAGAAGCTGTGATTATAACTAGAAACTGTCTCATTGTTTGCCTACCAATTTGCAATATTCAAATTTCATCGATCATAAACCCAATCGAAACAATTAAAAGTCGAAAGACGGATGAGGGAAAACTTTTTCGGATCTCTGCCCTCTGGCCAAGCGTTAAACCGGCTGGCCAGCCCGAACCGACCTCTCGGATCAAATGGATTCGTGGGTGTGATAAGGGAAGGTCGAGGAGGAGATAGGGGACGGGAAATAGTCGTTTTTTACAAACAAAAAAGTAAAACAAAGAAAGGGAAGATTGTTTCTGGTCGAGAAATATTAAGTGTTCCTTCAGGCTTCCAGGAGAGTGTTAGGAGCAGAATGAAAGGTCATTTGGAGCTTTATATCCTTGATATTAAGGATGCTGGCAATGGGATGGGTTTGGCCATTGTTTAGTAGCCGTCGGGATTAGGTTATGGAAAGAGCGATATGTTGAGTTATGGTAGTAAATATTAATTTTTTGTGACATAAACGCTTTTTTTGGTAAAAAATGGTTAAAATGAACACCTTTTAAAGTTTAACATTTTTGAGCAAATTTTGAAAGTTTTTAGCTTTATGACAAAACTAATACACTCCTCGCAAACCGAAAGATCTTCAAGATTTGAGTTTAATTTGCGGATCAACTTTGAATTGCTATTGTTTTTGCTGCATTCATTTTACCTTGTTGTACTTGACTTTTGGAACGTAATTGAGGTATAAATAAAGTTGACATATAAGAAAACGTATTGCGTGTATAAATCGTGGAGCGTTTAGCTGTTGTGATGACTATTCAGCGACATTTAAAGTGGTTTGAAATAAAGGGTACATAAAGCATAATAGTAGTTTTGGTTGACTTCACTTTTGTTTCGAGCAGTTTTTGATGACATTTGAAAGTTATTTGGCTTTATTATTATATTTTATATAATAATTTAAATTCCATTATGTTATAAGTTATACTTGATTTTTAATGAAATTCGATAGTGAATTTATTTTATAAATATGATTTCATTTAGAAGTTAATTATTGTTACATATATTATTGTTTTCTTTGTGCAATATGTAAATTAACTTTAAACTTTTTATATAATTTAATGCAGAGTTAAAAAGATTTTTTAGTTTTAGTCAATTTCGAAGGGTTCAAACACATTTTAAAACTCTTTTCCTCGCTCTTAACAGCTGTGATTTGCCGAATAAGTGAGAAACAAAAGGCCTGAGGGAAAGAGGAGACTAGATCTGCAGTCTGATCATGTCTTAAGATTCTGAATGTTAATTATGACTCATCCACTAATTTCCGGACGTCCGATGCGTCTTCTGTCATTCTTTTGTAACTGTCTTCTGGAGCTGGGATCGTAAATCATCGGGCGATAAAAGGGGGGTTTGATCATGGATTTGTTGTTAAGGAAGTAAAATTGTTTTGTTACGTTTTAGACAATTTTTAGTTACTTTATAGTGAATATTAGTATTATAGTACAAAAAAATATTTTTAATTTTTATTTTGTAGAATTTTGTTTTTCGAAATTTTTTTTTAAATTAACGTTGATTTGAACCTGTAAACTCATAGAAACAAAGATGAACTAGTCTTCCTATAAAAACGCCAATCCCGTTCACTGACTTCCAATCTTTAATCCTAATTAGAGCTAATTATGAGCGTTCGTAAATCCGCGTCAAGAATTTCGAAACGTTTTTATGATTTCGGCGGAACTAATTGTATCGTGTAGGATGCAGAAGTGCGCACGTGAAGAATGTGGGAAGACAGTGTATCCGATGGAGGAGCTGAAATGCTTGGACAAGATCTGGCACAAAGGCTGCTTCAAGTGCACCAGCTGTGGCATGACATTGAACATGAAGAACTACAAAGGCTACAATAAGATGCCATATTGTGATCCGTGAGTTTACATTACATAGGTTTATCAATGGTTCTGAATATGTACTTGATTTTTGAATGTAGTATGGATATTATAATGACAGTAAGAGTTTAAGGTAGAGTAATTTCAGACATTACCCAAAAACTGTGGCTACGGCCGTTGTGGACACTCCAGATATGCAAAGGGTAGCACAGAACACAAAATTACAAAGTCAAGTATGTTTAACACATTTACACAAGCTTTTTTTATTTAACTTATAATGATAATGTCATTTCCAACACCAAATATATTCTTTTGCAACTTCAAATTCTCCTTCTAGGTAGCCTACCATCTCGAATACGAAAAGTCGAAAGGACAGAAGATCGACATTGTTGATGACCCTGAACTCCAACGACACAAACAGAACACCAACAACGCCTCTCAAGTACAATATACCGGAGAGATTGGGAAAAAGCAGAAGCAAGAGTTGGTTCGACCAAAAGAAGATCCAAATGCACCTAGTAAGTTGAACTTTCCTGTTAAGGTTACTATCTATGACATGTCCGTATGGGGCAACTTTACCGCTTGCTAACACTGTCGATCTTTCCTTGTACTGTACAGTACACTTGCTTGTTATTAGTATGACAAAGGGCTTTTGATACCAATTTGATTAGACTTCTATTCAAGTTTTGGCTTGGTATGTCTCTTCGTAATACTACGTTGTTAACAGACTTGTCCGGTGTCTTTTTCGCTTTATGTTTCATGGTGCTAGTATTATGTATACTTCTAGATATAACATTTCATTTTATATATTCTTTTTATGCTTTAGTAATAGTTTTTCAAAGTTTGGTCATAAAACCTCAAAAGTGCTTTAATCTTTTATACCTCTGCTGTTTAATTTCACTATAATAGTACCTCTTGCTCTAAAATTCTGTTCACAATAAGCTTTAAATAGTGTATTCTTTTTAAAAGTAATGACCTGCTTGTAAAGCAATGGTTTGTACTTTAAAAACGCTAAAATACTGCACATTACCACATTGATCTACCTCGCACTTTTTTCGCTTTAATTGTACTGCTTTCACTGAATAAAACCGTTGTAAACTCTATCTTGTAGTGTTATATACATCTGATTATGCCCAATTTTACTCCGAAAACGAAACAGACGAAGGCTGTTTCTCGGACGAACACTGTGACCAAGGGAACACAGTAAGAAGTTCTCCTCCCAACTCTACCTGTTCTTCGTTAAGTCGTCCAATTGATCCTAATGCAGTGAGTGGGACTTGTATTCTAATTAGTGTTTACTAGTGTGAATTTTGAATATATTTCGAACTAATCCATAAAGACTTTTACAGGTTTAATTTTAAACTAATGTAACATGTTGTTTTACTTTTTAAAATAGTTTTGAATGTTAGTTTTTCCAACATGTAGTAATATAAATAACAATCAAAAACCTTATTTAATACGCCTTGAATTTGCAGTTCGTGTATGTTAACCATCATTTGACTGAGAAAGAAAGTTTTGCTACGACTGTTTGGAGTAGTCATGAAGTGATCAAACGCGGTAATTTACAGTTTTAACAATTTTTCAAACTGAAGTGATTAACTCATGTTTAAATGTTAAAAAAATAAAAATTTCTTAAAACATAATTTAAAAAGCCACTCCGAAGGTGACATAGCTATTATTACAGAAGAAGAACCAAAAAAGATTGGCAGCATCTCAGACTACGACCCAGTAAACGGTAACTATGGCAGTCTAGGCGGGCAAAAAGGTAAATAAATAAAGTTAAAGATACTTATACAGACATTTGTAAAAATAAATGATAGTAAAGTACATTTTTAATATAAAATTTTTAGCAGAACCAGCAGCCGCAGCAGCGTCAACAACAGCATCATCCGGAGGCGAAAAGAAAGTCAAAAAAGTGAAAAAATCAACCAAAAATGCTGGATTTTCAGTAAAATGTCTGTACGACTACAAAGCGGCCGACGCTGATGAGGTAAACATTTTTCATCGAACATTTAATTTCTAAATTACCAAGAAATCTGCATAGACAAAGCCAACCCTCAACCTACGCATACATAGTTACAAAAAATAAAACCATCAGAAAAACCCTAAACTAACCCACCAATTTTTCAGATTTCGTTTAAAGAAGGCGATGTCATCGTGAACTGCCAATCGGTGGACGAGGGATGGATGACCGGAACCCATCAAAAGTCATTGGCCCATGGTATGTTACCAGCCAACTATGTGGAGAAGATTACTGCAATGACCGGCGCTTACAAACTTTCCTAAATATAACAATATTACACATGATCCCAATCTCATTTCCTAACAACTACTGTATTTCAAGCTGATCTACAGCATGGTTTATGTATTTTTTGGCCGTGAGTGAGTCACAACAATATTTTATGTTTAATAAATGACATTTGTTTTGATAGCTAATTAAATTAAGCACTTTTGTACTTTTAAAATCCGAAAAATAGAATATATTACACAAATCATAATATCAAACAAAATATGTACTTTACTGATAAATAAATTAACTATGAAACCAAATAAATTACTATTAAAAATATTATAGTACCGATATCAAAACCATAAACGATTCGAAAATATCACCAAAAAAGTATATAATACAATTTGTTGACGGCATCTAATGTAGACCCTACTAAAACAACATTAATTTGACAAAACATAAATTTAAAAACAAAAATAATTTGATAAACAATATAATTTGATTAGAAACAACACAAACCGGTGATATATAGAGTAATTTGTTCAAATCAAATGCATCCGATCTTCTTCGGACTTCTGAGACACCACGCGATGATTCGAAGGATATATTACAAAGAGACTCAGCTGCACAGCGGCTATCACAACAGCTACGGAGTTGGGCACCTACAATAAGTTTGTTTAGTTACTCTATTTTAGTATAAAAAGGTTTTTCAATAAATTTTAGCCAAAATTCATAACATATTGTGAACTGTAAAAGCCTTACCTTCATGTAAAAGTCATCAGTCAAAATACCGTACGCTAACCATTGAATGGACACAATCATGTTGCCTAAGCACAACATAAATGGCAGACTTTCCGTACTTTTGTTCCGTATTACTTGCCCCTGAAAAAGTTTAACATATTAACATTGTGAATAATTGCATATTATTCTTGAATATAGTGCAGATTATTACCTAAAAGCAAGAAAAAAGAAATAAAAACTTACGACATCTAATAATGGAGCTCCAATCGTAGCTATGTTAAGCATCATGCATATAATTCCCAAAAAGTTTTCCTTGGTTTCATGTGTAATATCCGAATACAACCAATAATACGTTAAAACGGCAATTATCAACTCCAATATTAACAATCTGTTAAGTCTTGTCTGAAAAGAAACTCATCAAATTGTGTTAAACAGTGTTTTGCCGGACCGAAACAGAAATTTTTGCGGACAGGACCGGACCCAAAAACCTGCGGACCCGGACCGAAGAAAAAGCTCCGGACCGGTCCGGAAGAAAAATTTTTTTTTATTTTAAGAAAACTGTTTTAAAAATTGCAAATAAAACATATTTTTAGGAGTTTTTAAGCAAAAAGAAAGCAGTTTTAGCGCTCCTTGCTTTTTTAAAAATCAAAAAATTTTTTTTGCGGACCGGACCGGACCCAAGAATTTTGGGTTTGGACCGGTCCGGACCGAACCCAAAAATTTGAAGTTTGGACCGGACCGGACCCAAAAAATCGCCGGACCGGACCGGTGAAAAACGCTCCGGACCGGTCCGGGCAAAACACTGGTGTTAAACTTTAACTTATATCTAAACAATCAGTTTTCTAACGGCAGAAAGTTTAAAAAATCAAAGAATAAGCTATTTGTTACCTAAAAATCAGAATCCTCTTCAAAAACTTACCCTTAACCTCGTTTTATGATAATAATACGCCAAGTATACACTCTGTACCACCAGTCCAACTCCATTGACCATGATAACGGTCGAATCCTGTCGAACTTCTCCATAGCCAGTCCAAACGATACATGAGATGGCTGTCAACAAGAACGGTGCTACCGACGTGCCATCAGTGTGGCCTCGTAATTTGATGCGCTGACAAATCTGAAGTCCGCACAAGAATAGAGCGAATGTTGAGGATGTTGCAGTGAAGGAGAGCAGGCTCACCCACCCATCCATTCTTTATTTTCGACGACCGCTAGGTGCTGATATTCGGGCGCCGTCTTTCACCAACACCCGCATAGAGATCGGAATGGAGAAGATGTCAGAGGAAACTCGACAAGGCCAGCTATCTGTAAATTGATTAGGTTAGAAAAAGCATGTAAGAAATGTCAAGTGTAAGATATTATGCAACAAGTTAAAGTAGTAAAAACACGAAAATACGTTAAAAAAATAACAGTAAAAACAAAGACCCGAAAAATAATGACTGAAAAATGTTTTTTGTATGCAAATCAGTTGAACAACTTTTTTTTATTATTCAAAGCTTCTGTTCGTACACCAATCCTTTTTCATCAATCACCCAAAAGTTCCTATACAATAATTTCATATTCTGTTTTCGACGAAATCCCGATTTCTCGGTCAATTCGCCTGAAAAGTCGGCTTTCCATTTCCGATCGTGAGAAAGATCAAGAGAAAACCCGACTTTTTCTCCTACATAACACTTTAAAAGTTTTAAAAAACAAAGAACGGGAGAGATTAAGGGATCGAAATGAGATTAAAACAATATAGTGAGTGCACCTACTCTTATCACTCACGTTACCAACTAAAACAGGACATAGCTTTAACAATTTTATAATTATTGAATTCTTTAACAGGCTGATTCATTGAGGAAATGATTATGCTATTTTTTGTCAAGTCATGACTATACATTCTGTTTGTTTACATTGTTTTTATTGCTCATAATATCAAGTTTTGATAAAACCGTGCCCTTTGTAGAGTTTACGCCCTTTTTAAGGTTATTTCCGCTTTAAAATTAGACGTTTGTAAAGAAATCCATATATATAAAAAGATATAAAAACAAAATCTTTAAGTATATTTTCTTACTCCTAACGTTTAGAACATTATTTATAGCAATGCCTTTTGTAAAAGAACAGTTTTTAAGTCTTCATGCTTAACATAACGACACCATTGTAAAACAAAAAAAACCTCTCCCATCAAAAATAATCACAAAAATGCGAAACGAAATATAAGCATTAACAATCACAAATTAGATACGTTTCAACTGCCACACCTTCCCCAAAATAAATAAACGTCAGCATTTGTGCAAATCCACGTTGGAACGTCATTAAAAGTGTAAGCAAAACGAGCTTAATCAGCCGCAAAAAAGTAATAATATCCGAATTAGGTAAACAAAAGTTAGTCACTAATCCAATTTTGCTTTGTTTTTACATTTGTTGTTAACGTTATTAATTTTGCGTATTAGCTAATGTGTTTTTAGTATCAATGGGTGTTAAATAGTGTTATGTCTTTTCATAATTTCAATTTTAAGAATGAGAAATTGTTCTTTTAAACTTAAAGTTAGGTTAAAATGAACAGAAGTTATTTATAATAATAAAACATTTATACTTTTGAAAGTAAATTTTACTTCCAAAAGTGTAAATTTTTCAAAAATAATAAAAAGGAAACAAAAATAATAAACGATGTGTGACCTTATACTGAATTCACAAACTCCATACTCAAAAACTCTCACGCGATTCTGGAATGAAACTTTAATTAAAATGTTTCTCGCCCAAAATATTATGGCAAAGAACACAAATGTAAAACGAACGAAATTATGAAGTAAAGAAGCGGAACATATCTCCTTCCTTCCGTTTTTGCAGAAAAACTGGTTTAGACCTTCTTAAATCCTGTCCCCACACCAATACGTTGTAATAATGCTTGCGCAAAGAGAAACAAGTAGAAACAGTGGTGAAGTTAATGTAAACTTTAACAACGTAACTTTAACGTCTTTACAACAAACTAAAAAAAAACAACCTGGATAAATGTTTGAAACAGTTCCTACAAGTTTAGTAAACGTATTTTAGCAGAAAATTAGTTTCAAAGCCTAGAATATTCAAGTTTCCAAAAACAAAACGTCCCACATCAAGATAAACTAAACAACAACTGCATAAACAACATTTTTAACAAACCGAGACTAAGCAGAACATGTATACAAAGACAAAATGTATAATTGACCTTGTAGTTCTGCCTCCACGAACAATATTCATGAACGCAATTTTGAAAGAATTCAAAAGATTCTCCAGCATAACATAGATAAAGATCACTCCGCGACTCACAAATACTTGAACAGAAAGAGAATATTCACCATTGTTCTCCAACCGCTGCTTCTCCTCAAGAGTCAGACGTAAAGTGACATTAAATATTCATGTTATGATAAGCGATACTACCTAAAAGGTTACACACACATGACAGACGCGATACATGCATCTAAAAAGTTTTAAACGTAATTCTTCGTGAAACCTTTACTTTTTAAGTAAAACGCCGCAATTTTTTACGAAAATCCAAAAGGAAATATATTATTCTAGACATCTCGCCTACTCTTTAGCAAAAAAACTTGTTTTAGGCAAGTAGTCGACAATTATAAGTAAGTTTCCATCAAAGATCCACGAGATAAACAGTTTATAAGATATTTACGTAATTAACTCCATTTTAGAAACATTAAACACCAAAAATATAGCATCTCAGACATTAAAATATAACTTTAAACGGCCGGAAAGCTGTAAAACATAAATTAAAGTGATATTACAGTGTAAATTTACAATTATAAACACCACAATATCTTAAAAGCATTTCAAGGCCTTGAGCATAATGAAAACAAGTATTCCGTTGTTTTCCACTAAAAGAGAGCACGGGCAAACACATTCTCAATACACAAAAACTCCAAAAAATATACTATCATACCCAAAATTCAACCATTTCTTTTCAAATTACTGAAAAACTACAATTCTATAAAAACATAACTTACAATAGCAAAAAGAATTGAAACTTTGAATGAAAAAAGCGTTTCGTTCTTCGAAAAATTTAAAAAAAACTCGAAATTCGTTTCGAAAAAGAAAAACAAAATAAAGAAAAGAGTTGACACGCAAATAGTCGAGTCAGTTCTTTCTCTCAATTAATTTGGCCATTTTATTGCCAAAATTGAATTTTTGATTGGAAATACGCCAAATAAAACAAGTTCGAAGTGTTTTTGGATGTTTACAGCTTGAAATGGGATAGATTATCTCTCAACATGACATGGTAAGTGTTTTTAATGCATTTGAACCGTTTTGTTACCAAAAACATGTTATTCAGCTCAAAATAACAATAAAAGAGAAATACAAGTAATATAATAGTACAAAATTACCAAACCATCATCCACCCTCACAATCTCAAAGAATACACAAACACCCACTTGAAGTTGGCTCTGAAAATAAGGATCACACGGAGTTAGGGACAGCCGGCTCTCAAAGTTTTGTACTTTTTACAAGTAAACTTGGTTTTTAAAATTAATTTTGATTAGAGACAAAAATTAGGCGACTTTAGGGTTTTTTGCATATTGTCTTATAATTTTCGTTCTTTTATTTTTGGTTTGAGGATAATATTGTTATACGTCAAGGTTTCGTATCGTAAAAATCGCCCGCCCGGCACTGGTCGCATTATAAAATGCTAAAATTTTGTTCACAAATCAATAAAAAAAATATCATGAAGGGCATATGTTTCCATGATTTCATATCTACGAAATATTTAAAAATTTGAAACGACAAAAATTTGATTTTACAACGAAGTGGCAGATATTATGAATAATATAAATAATAAAAGCTTTACTTTTAAATTTTAAATAATACAAAACTACTTTTTACTGCATTAATCATGGCTTGAGACATTTGTTTTCGAATATTGAGGCCACATGTTCGAACTTTAATAAAATCTTATATCTTTTACGGATCGTGATAAAAAAAGAAAGATGTCCAACAAGCTGGCCATAGTCTTCTACTGACCCCTATCGGGGGCGTTTTTTTCACAAAGAATGGCAATTTGGAAGAATGTTATTGAGTCAGAAACAATTAATAGAGCTCCGAGTGATAGGTGATTATTTAGAGAAGGTCAGGAGGCGAGGTGTCAGGGGACTGGTACAGTGATGTGACTACTTAGGGGTATACTTTCATGATGATTTTATGGTTGTACATATATACGTTAGATAGAAATTGTCGGTATGTTATATCTAAATAAAAGGAAAAAGTTTTTATTGCAAACTTTACTACTACAATATAAGACAGAGGATTTTCAGTCAATCAAACAAAAAAAAACGACGACCATTTTCATTCCCCTGCAAATTGTGGTAGGATTCGAATTCCTTTATTTCTACAGACATTGTGAATCGTAAACATTTTCTGTCCTGTATAAGCATAGTAACTATTATTGAAATGTTTTTGTTTGTTTAACAAACTTGTTTTGGCCGCGTCATATTACCGTTTACCACGCGATTAGGTGAGAGAGCTGAGTATCGGATCGTGTCAACATCACGCTTTAGTACCATTTGAACTAAACAAGACGGATAATTGTTGATTGTTTATGAGTTTGCCTCGCTTTGGCTTGTAAAACTTTTGTTTTTTGTAAGCTTTCGAGATATTAACTATGAGTTTGTACTTGAAAATGGTGACTTTAGCAACATAGGTTCTTTTTCCTGAATAAGAAGCTACTATCATTTTATTATAGCTATTATATTGTGACAGAACCTGAGTTTGAACTTGAAAATATCAAAGTATATGTCTAAAACCTCATCTAGATCTTTTTTTGTTGAAATCAGAGGAGGTTAAGAAGAGGGTGATCAGTCGGGAGAACGCAAAAAATCCGAGGGAACTTGGCCGCAGGGATTTGTCAGCAGTTCCAATCGATTTTGTTCTGGGATTTTTCGAAATTTTAATTAATATGTGGATATTGGGGTTGATGACATTTGACATGTTGAGTTTGATGCTATCTAACCTATACTTTTTTATTTTAAAAAATTATTTTTTATTGCTATTTTTTGGCAACTTTTAAAGTCATTGTATCGTTTTTAAGGCATTTGTAATGGGAATGGTAAAAACTTAATATTTTTGTTTTTAGTGTCTTAAAAAATGCTGCCGCAAAATGGCAGCAACGTTACGGGTAATTCTGAGGCACGGAGTTCATCAAAGTCTCCACAGCCGCCCTTGGAAAACAATAAGCCTAAAACAAATGGAAGCGTGAATCCGTTGGAGAAGATTGAACAGCTTCTAACGTGTTCCATATGTCTCGATCGATATAAGTAAGGTTTTAAATATAGTAGAATCACAAATGTCAAATTGTTCCTAACGTAATTTGTGTTTCAAGTAATCAGTAATGATCATTTGAATTTACGTGTTTCTAACTTTACTGCTTCAGAATGCCAAAGTTGTTACCATGTCATCACACATTTTGTCTACCTTGTCTGGAAAGCTATGCTGATACTGTCCATCACAACTTGAAGTGTCCAGAATGTAGATCAGAACATGCTGTGCCATTTGAAGGAGCTAAAGCGTTTCCTAACAACTTGACTTTGGCCAAGTTTTTGGACATTCATTTAGAGGCAACTGATGATAATCAAGAACAACTGGAAGCTTACATTCAACGGTAAAATTCTTTTTAATTTTTTGTTTTGCCGTTTTTTGATACTACAATAAGATAAATTTTGAATTTGATATTTGTAAAAAATTCAATTTTTTTTGAAAAAGCAAATCGATTTATGTAAATTTAAAATTCAGGTACAACATGGAGCGATGCAAGATTTGTGACGAGAAGGCAGAACTCGAGATCTGTGCCCATTGTGATCGAAAAGCTTGCAAAGAATGTCGCAAAGCTCATATGGAAATGGTTAAACGTGACTTGAGCCGGCTTCTGAATCAAGTAAAACGACTATCAAATCGTATAAAGGAAGCCAATGGTTGTGTTAAGAAGGGTATTGCAACATTAGAAGAGAACGTTGAAACAACCAGGAATGAAGTGAAAGATTACTTCCAACGTTATCACACTGAACTCAAGAAGAGGGAAGAACACTTCTTGAACGAGGTGTTGATATATGAAGAGAATGAGACTCGACTAATGAAGACATTGGGAGAACGGTTGGATGCTGATGAGACTAACCTTACGGATGCGTGTGCTTGGGTGGAGACAGTGTTATCAGGAGAAGTAGAAGCCAAAGAAGACGAATTATGCAAATTCAAACAATGTTTTGCTGACGGAATCGAGTATCTGAGGAATTTCCAGCCGGATTCTGATGAATTGTTCTCGAAAAAGATAAGATTCTCACCTGGAGATGACGCTTCGAAACTACCTCAAGCTATTTGTAATTTTGGAGAATTGACCGTTTATATGCCTCAATTTGCTGGTCGATATCTGCCTATGGAGCAACAGTATCTACCACGCCCTTTACGCATGGGAATGGAGAGTGATTCGTATAGGACGAGCTTGAGAACGAGGGAGGAAGAACGGCAGTCGAAGTGAGTTATCACTTTTATTAGGTGACGTATGAGGTTTGTCTATTTTGACAAAGAACTAGGTACGAGTTTCGTAACTTGCTTATGTTAGGCCATGTAAAATACGCGGTGTTTTGAGATTCTTACTTGTAAACTTTAATTCTGGACCAGTGAAGTGTCATTATTGTACTTTATAAGCTTTTCTCCAAACTTGTTTCTTCAGTATTAACTTTCTGAAAAATATTTATTTTGAACAATTTTAACTTTAAAAATTAATTTGAAAATTGTATTAGAATTCTATTTTACTTGTTGTATGTCCGGTTTAACTTTGTCACTTTCATAACATTGTATACAGTTGGCTTCAAATAAACTCACTACTGTAATCTTGGCGTTTCTTTCACTGGTCCTTTTTGTTTTTTAATCAATTTTTTACGTTAAGTTTTGTGAATGTAATGTAAGACGTCAAAATGACAAATAATTTCTCGAAGCATTAAATGTTTGACTTACAGATACGGAAAGGATGAATCGTCAAGCTCCAAGTCGTACCGCCGCCGTCATACTCATGGTGACGATGAATGGGCTGCCATTCGAGCTGACAGACTTCGTAGAGGTGCTGAATCTGGTAGAAGTTCACCGAACAACACATCGTCACCTCACCAGAAGTCGCCGTTCTTGTCTCCGGCTCAAGTCACAGAACAATGTGAGCAAGCTGCTTCTTCTAGATCAGCTGAAAGATTGACTGTTGAAGAAGCGAGACCATCATCTGTCAGTCCAACAGCTACACCACCATCTGCACGAAGAGTACGTCGTGCTGTACGTGACCGGTCTTCGTTCCTGGTGGATGAAGTGCTTTTGTCATCAAATAGAGGATTGTCACCTCGTGAAGCATTTATGCAAGCTTATGAGAAGCAAACACCTTCTGTCACCTTGAATGATAACTCTACTGACATCAACGCCAACAAACCTCCTCTTCCACAGTCGAGCGTAGAAGACAGTAGTCTCAATGCCAAAGTGGAGAAGATTGTACAGGCTTCACAACAACGACAGAATGGGTCAAGCTCTTCTGTCCATAAAGGTATGACATTATTTAAAATTATAAAATTGAACTTTGTTTCTTTAGACGAACAGAAAACAGAGTCTTCTTATGAAAGTCAGCCACCAATCCAACGACGCCAAAAGTTTAAAATAATCTGTCGCTCGTCCTCCCAGAACCCAGCACGTCGCTCGCTGGACCTTACGAACGTTGAACAGGAGAACGGTAGGGAAAATAGGGAACAGAACGGGGTGTTGATTGAGGACGGAGGCGACGGAATGGACCAGAAACCGCCGGCTCCGCGTCGGCGGTCGATTGTCGGGTTGTCTTTGCCGGCCCCGGGGCAAAAGTTCATTCCGGTAAAAATTGTCGCACGCCCCATAAAACCGAGTAACTCGACTGATGTGGAAGATAACGATGAAGCCGAGAAGCCGCCGCCTCGGCCCCACTCAAGCACTGGTTTTGCGGACGAACTGAAGAATGCCACCGCCATTCCTATATCTTTCTTTCCAGGTGAGGTCCAATTCAATGAGCCCATGCCGACGACGCGACCACGTCGTCTGTTTGGAACTTCCGTAGCCGCCGACCGGGATACGGAACAGGGTCAACAAAACGAAGCCGATGAAGTTGTGATGCCGAGTAGATGGATGCTACGGCGTCGTGAAAAGATGCTACGTTCACGAACGAATCCTGACGTATTTGGAAGTCTGGATCCAAGTGAACGTCGTCGACTTATTTCTGAAGCCAACGCTAAACTGACTTCAGAATCTACCGACACAGTGAAAGTCACAGCATCTGATTCTCCCGCATACTCCCCTGGTTACCGTACTCAGCGTTTCTTCAGCAATGAAGACAACGATGACACCATGCAACCGTCCACATCGGCTTCGTCGTCGCGTCGTCGGCACGATTCTGTTTCACTCCGGGTTCAGGAGTTGCTCAACAATAAAGAGTTGAAAGAATTGCTTGCAGATTCAACCAAACCCTCCACCCCCGCCTTCCTTTCCTCCCCAACCGGTAGGCAAAACTTCTTCAAAGATCACGATCAGCCGACAGCACCGACGGAAAGAAGATCACGGTTCTCCAGAAGGACTTCTTCTAATCGACTGTCTTTGGAAACGACGCCTTTTATTGACTATTCGGCCATGGCCAAGCCTAAGGTTGTGTTTGGCCAAAAGGGAGACAAGGCAGGGGAAATGAACTGGCCAAGAGGGATCGCCGTTCTGGGTGGGGGAACGTTTGCCGTGGCAGATTCGTCGAATCATAGGATTCAGATATTCGATGAGGATGGGATTCTGAAGAAGGTAATCGTTTGCTTTTCAGTTTTATTAGTTAGTTCTAAAACGTAAATGAATTTTAGTACCATGTATATTGTTACTCACGATTCATACCATATAAAAGCCACTCACCTTTTGATAAAACCATAATATTGTTTAGAAGTTTGGGACATATGGAGCCCTAGAGGGACAGCTTGACAGTTGTGCAGCGGTAGCATATAACAGGACCAGTAAGAATCTTGTGGTATCTGATAGGTACAATCACCGGATACAATTGTTTGATCTTGACGGAAAGTTTGTAAGGTTATTCGGTGGAAATGGCAAAGAAAACGGAAAGTTCAACAACCCTTGGGGGTTGGCCATTGACAATTTGGGAATGATCTATGTTTGTGATAAAGATAATCACAGAGTGCAGGTAAGTAAATCCTTAGAATTTTTTAAATTTTATTTATTTTACAGAAAAATTGTACGAATAGAGCTATTTATAACAGCGATTGACGTTACATTGTTTTAGGTATTTGACAAAAACGGCACGTTTATGCAAAAGTTTGGAAGTAAAGGAGATGGGATCGGTCAATTTAACCATCCTCTGTTCATTGCGATTCACTGTAAAACCCAGAACTTGTTTATTACTGACAGTGCTAACCATCGTATCTGTGTTATGGATCACAATGGAGGCCCTATCTTAACCTTCGGGTCGGAAGGCTTCAGTGTTGGTCAACTAAAGCTGCCAAGAGGTATAGCTATAGATGAACAGGTAAGTGATTTGTAACGATATGGGTAATCATTCCCATTGTTTCCAGGGTTTTGTCATAGTCGCGGACAGTGGCAACAACCGTGTCCAGATCTTTTCTCCTGATGGCAAATTTGTTCATGGCTTTGGAGCTTGGGGCGTGGGCCCAGGCCAACTTAAAGGCATTGAGGGAGTGGCTTTGTTGGACTGCAAAATTGTTGTTTCCGACCGAGAAAACCACCGGATTCAGATTTTCTAGCTCAAAATGTGAATCAGTGTTCTTGTTGAGTTTTTATGGTATTTTCATCATGGTGAATATAAGTTAACCCGAGTAAACTCTATGTAGAAATATTAATTAACTTGTAGTACATTTTGATGCTTTCAAGTCCCTTTAGTCAGGAGCGTGGAGTGTAATATACTTGTGGTGATACCACAGTATCAAACCTTCCAAATATATATTTTTAAGTTTATGAGTAACGAACAACGAATATAAGTGGTTCACCAGGCTTTGGAGGTTAATGTTAGAAAGATCATTGAAGAACGACGGCAAGTATTTCAAAAATTATGAATTTGAAAGAAAATAGTACAAACAGGATGATATTTTAGGTAACGGATAGGACTGTTTTACATTGTGATTGATAAGTAATGAAAGGTAAAAATTAAAATTTGCTAAAAAATAAAAAAATAGAAGATTTGAGCTTTAAAAATACAAAAGTAATACTAGACAGACTTACAACTGAGCAGTGACATTGACAAAACTCATACTGCTTTGGTGTTGTCCATCCGCTGTGTTCGGCACATAATCACTGGCCGTCACCATGTTTTGATCCTCTATCGACCGGTTGTGATTGAAAATACCCAATAATAATTCTTTTGCCAACGGGGAGAAACAAACTTGTTCGAAGAAGTCGGCCACCAGGACAGCCTCTTTCATCTCAATGGCCATTGTGGCGATCGATGGGCCGAATAATAGTATTTTAGAAAACTTGTGAGCAGCTTTAATCGGACCATCCTTGTTGGACATGTAGCGGAACAAAGAGTCCGTCAACTTATGTCTTGCTTCCGATATTACATTGCGCACTTCGACTGAAGAAAGGTCGTCTGTGTCTAAAAACAGGGTTAACTTATCATATGATTATTATTTTTGAAAAATAGTCAAAAATATTTAGTCCGATTACTCACCAGGATTTAAAAAGAAAATGCCTTTCATGGCAGCAAATTCGTTTATATCAAGACCAATCTGTCTCATCGGGTGTAATAAGTTGTCCAGCAGCTTCACCTTCTTTCTTTGGAAACCGGCTGGCCTGAAAGATAAGATTTTTAAAACTATTATCAATAAAACAACAGTAGAACGCCAGGACTGTATAACAAAAGTTTGTAACCTACCTTCCCAAGTCCGGTGATCGATCGAAATAAGAACCATTTGGGAACACAACAATACCTTCTCCTTTGTCGACCGTGTAAAAACATTGCATTAGTGCAGCATTTGTTACTGCTGAATGCCGTAGTAAAATAACCTATAAGATAACTAATTGATTTTTTAAACTCTAAATTTACCTTTTTAAAATAATATATAGTCGTTTCTTAAAGATGTCTATAAGACAAAGACAGTAAGATTGAAAGACTGTTACAAAAAGTGTTATCAGTAACCAATTGTACGTCAAACACCGTATCAGTTCTATTATCTGATTAGATATTACAGTAAGAATACTGGTTGCTTACCTGGTCAGAGACGTCCAATTTGTTGTAAACATCTATTGTCTTTGCCCATTCGACCATTATCGACCAGTCTTTCTCGTGACAAGTTTGGTAGTCTAATGATACGGCTACCCGAGTACCATCTTTCATAACGGGATTCTAGAAACAAAACTTAAATTAATTTTGTAAAACACGACGTTTAATCTTCGCTTCTTATGTTAGGTTGTTCCAAGAAGAATGGCCGATTTTAACCTTGATTCCGCCAAAATCTGCCGTTCTTTTCAGTACAATCTCATATCACTTAAAATAATGTTTAAAGTAAAGAAGAAACACACTTACCATGTTGATACTCTTCAAAAATTCAATATTGTTGAAGAATGAAGGAAGCAGGATTGAGTGAACCAGAGATTTTGATATCACATAGCCAGAATGCCTAAAATAAATTTCGTGCTTCTCAGAAAATATACAATAATTTTAATGCCACTTCATAAAACCATTAATAAAATTTCATCTCATTACAACAAAAGTTCAAAAGCCTTTCCAAAAATAAAACATACCGTAAAGGATTGACATATTGTTCCACCCGACACAAATTATTGAACAGCTCATCATCGTATACCGATGTAACTTGAGGAGTGACAATATTAACATGAGATTGAAGGAGCGTTTGTTGTTCAGGACTGACAACATTGATAACGGATGATCCAGAAGACCCAGGATTCGAGATGGCTGGCGAATGATGGTCAACACTCTTGATCGGCGGATATCTTCGTGTCCTTTTGGTATACCCTATAGGATCTCGATTCTGTTGTATCGCATCTCTCCGCATCCCTACGGCCAAACACTTGTTAAAGCGACAGTGTCTACATGCACATCTCACACCTAAAGTAGCAATTTATAATACTGAAAGAAGTAATATTGTCAAAAAGACATTGTCATAAAAGCTATCAATGGAAACAATAATATTTTTAAAAGGATAATATTGTACTTACTTTTGTCTACAATACAATTGCCATCATAGTGACATGTAAACTCCTGGTTCTTCATTATGGTGCGACGAAAGAATGTTTTGCTGAAACAATACTGTTTAGTACTAAAATTTCTCATTAAAAGTATCCCACTTACAATGTTAAAAATAATAAACAAATTGAGTTGTATCAGACTCAAAACGTTTTCGTGTCTATAGTATACTATAAACTACAAAAACAAGTCCCAAACATCCTTAAAATCATTTAGAAGACCTTCCAAATACTAGATCAGTCAAAATGGTTAAGAATTTTCCAAAGAGCAAGTTGGCCAACAGTGTCAGCCCGCATAACAGAAATAAAAATCCACCTGGTCGCTTCGCTGACCAATTATTATCCAAAAACAACCCATAATATGAATAGTTTGACAAAAAAATCGTTAACACCTTGACCAACCAAACCCTGTACTATAGAACCAAATCCCGTTCCTGTTTCAACCGAAGAACCACAACATACCATCCATTGCAGCTAGGTGTGCCATAATGATATCCAGTTGAAACGTCGCTACATACCAAACACAACTCTTCTCCTGGCGGAGTACTCGTACTCGAACTGCCACACACCGACGACTGGTCCATGTAGTAGTAGTACTCTTGCTGAAACATTTTTATGTGATTTTGATTTCGTTTCCTGCTTGTTCAATCCAGTAAGGCTGGACTGCATGAAATGGCAGTTGGCTAACGAACTCGCGGTAAAACTTTTCTTAAATAGCGCGGTTAGTCACGTTGGGTTTGGGTGATAAGAAAGAGACAATATAAGTTTTGCATACGCAAATGACGCGATTGACGTCAGTGAACAAGTCTTTAAGATAATATCGTTGATAAATGACCATCACAAGAAGCAGAATATAAAGGATGATAAGGGTTAAAAAATTAGTTTAAAATTATCAAAACAGCGTTAATCTAAAGGCTATAAAAATGCTTCTGCTTATAAAAATTTTTAAATTTACAAATTCGGAACAATATACTAACGCGAAAAACTTAATCAATATAACAATATCATTTTTAGTAAAAAAATAAATACAACTGTAATAATAAGAAATATAAAGTGCAATCAAAACTAAAAACAACTTTTTCGAGAAAACTAAGTTGTGTACTAATTCAGTAATTAAAAACACAAACTTTTCGTTTTAATCGTGACATGATGCCAAATAAACCTAAGACAAGGATAATCACAGTGTTAAAGAAGGCATTATCAACATTATTTAAAAGCTTACAACATGTTTCTAAACCGATTATTGTTTATGTAGTTATTAAACTGTACACAACTATAAAGCACAAAAATTTAATTATATTTCGTTAGACTATACAGTACTAAAACAACAAAAACTTGTTTTAAAAAACCATATTCTTTTAGCTTCTTAAATCAGTTTTGATATAATTTAGTGCCAAAACGTAAAAATTGCAAAGAAATTTAAAGGCCTTTATTTTTGTCCAAAATATATCAAAGATATTCATAAAAAACTGAAAAATACGTTTTTAATACCCGACAAAGACGTTATCCGAGAACGAATTACTCAATATTAATAAAAAGTACATGTTTACTCTAGTTCCAATACTTAAATTTCGAAACACAAACTAAAATAACCCAGTTTACCATAAACAGCACGCTGTAGGTCAAAACAAGCATTAAGATACGAAGCAACGCCGAGTATCAAAAAATGTTTATTTCTTAAGAAGATCTATAAAATATGTCATCTGTTGCTGCATAGACGTGACACTTTTTACGGAAAATGTAGGAGAGAAAAAGATATGACATATTTTTGTAAAATAGTTTCAGATTCTGAGAAAACCACGATTTTTTCAAGCTAATTGCTGACACATTTTCTGGAAAAACAGAAGTTTGGTTTTCTGTGCAAAATCTTGTCAAATTTTTACAAAATGGGTAAGTTCAGTTGTGTTTCTCACGTTGAACTTTCGAAAAGTGCTTTTATATTATTGTAATCGTCTATTTCGTGTCTAATTTGGGTAAATATTGCTTCGACATCGTGATAAATACGACTATTAAAAGTAAACGTTGTTTTAGGTTTTCATTGAGCCAAAAATGAATGGGAAAATGGCAGTTAACAAAACTATTATAGGCTTAGAAAGCACTTTAAATTAAAATAAAATTGTTATCTTTCGCGTTATGTACAATGTTGGTCGAGGATTTGAATATTACCCCCAAAGCCCATAATTATGATCGAAAACTTTTGAAAATCAATTTCACTGATCAAGAGTGATAAGTTCCCCTTGGAGCCTGCTCCCCTCATAATTCAATGATGTATTCTCGTCGAAAAAACAGCGCGTCGAAGGGTCTTGTGGTTGTAGCTAAGTATGCCTCGGTCTCTCGTATTCCCACTTACTTTCTTAACTGTCAAAATAAAAGTGCAGGTTTATGTTGTGGAAGATGCTTGTTGACTGTTAAACTCGGACGGTGAATCCGATATAAAGGCGTTAAAGACTTAATTACATGCATATAAGCGTAGTAGCGAAGATATATGCACAGTGAGCTTTGAGAAAAAATGTAGAGGTAGTAAATTGAAGAGAAAAGAAAAAAAGCGGTAAACGCTTAAAACAATATGCTGTTTGATAAAGATTACGTTTTTGTGTTTGCTCAAGATATGTTATGCACACCTGAATAGGATATTCACATGACATGTTATAGGCAAATTCTTATACATGTGGGTATGTTATGAAGGATTGTATGGATGTGACTATGTTGCGGTGTTAATAAAGCTGATAAGATAGACTGCTTTTTGAACAATTTTCTTTATGTTAGTAGTATTTGTTTTGGTTTTGAGACTTGTACAAACTAGAATTCGTATTTCTAGTCACAAAAAGGTTTTATTTCCTTGAAATATTCGATGTTTTTGTTAAGAAAATCTTAGAATTTCGATATTGTAGCTGTTTTTTGGCATTAAATAGCGTGATGAAAACCTTAAACAGCTTTTTCCTCTAGCTGACTGTTAAAAAGTTTTTGAGGAAAACGTATCATAATAATGCTGTTTCCTTATCAAACTCGAGGAATTTTCAAAATAATCAGTGAAATCTCATTTATGTAACTTGAGATGTGTTTTCTGGTTTGTACAACCGTTAACAGATAACAATTACAACATTTATCGCTTCAAGGTATGATTAACATTAACGGAAGTGTTGAAAAAGTTGTTCTGTGAATTATGTTTTTGTGTGAAGAGGTAATAAAAGATAAGTCTAAAACAATATTTATCAATTTTAAAAAGTCTGAAACAATATGTATATAAACAAACATAACGTGCTGAAAATAATAATAACTAACAACAAGTGTGGTAAAATTGATAAAATAATGCCAAGGTCTACCCTGATGGTAAAGTACTGTCCAGAGTTACCCTGATGATAAAAAATTGCCCAACTTTACCTTGAAGATACCCCAAGATATAAATAAGGTCTAAAGTGTCGCAATACATTCAATAAAACCATAATTAATACGCTTTATATTCCCAATACTAAACCTTTTAAGGTCGTTGTTCACGTGTTAATAGTACTGTCTAGGACTAACCAGTAAACAAGCGTGCAACGCCTTTGTTATGACTCTACATTCTGTCGATTACACATTAACCATCGTACAAGTAACCTTTGAGTGGGATAGGGAGTGCAAGTAAACACCCCCAAACGTATTCGCTGGGTTTCGTTTGGTTGTTAATCCCTTAAAGTGAGTCAAAACAAACTTTTATTAAAAAAACAATTAGGTAAGAAAGAATAACATAAATGCCCGTTTTGTTGATATGAACATAGAAACAAAGTGAGTGGAAGAAACTTTTGGACTGTCGATACACTTGAGTTTGTGATAAGGCTAAATACTGTAAGACCCATAATAAATGCAGATACGACTTGTCGAGCCGGTTTTATGATAAAATACAGTGTGAGGATATAAAGAAATTGTTTACAATTAGATTGTAAGGATAACATAGTTTACAAATAGTTTTTGGTTTATTTTTAAGTAATTGTTTTCTTTGTAATTCGAGAGATTACGGTATCAAAATAACAATAATAACTTTTAACTGAGCTATTAGTGATGCCAGACAAAACAATCATATTCATGATAATGAGCTGTTGACTCAAAGCAACCATTATAAATTCAAATTGAATTTTTTAAATGTTAATCAAAAGTAAAAGATTACAGAAGTTGTTGTCAGTTTCAAGGGCTTCTTCTGATAAGAGTTGATAGGAATCTCCTGAAATCCCGTTTGTTTGTACTTCCAGCTTTTTCGTCTTCGTTTGGAGGTTCGAGGACCGCCAATTGACTTTGAGGTAAATGGCACAGCGCTGACGCTACTGCTAGACCAGAAACACCATAGGGCGTGTGAGGTTGGCCACCAGTAGGTAGACGGACTACTACAGTGTAGATGGCAGTGCTTAGGTTTTTGCAGGGTTCTATTGCTATTGGGGTTGGCTGCTGGAAAAATGTGATTGGTCAATATCATGATAATGGCATATAGGGTTAGTTATTATCATAGTAATAGCATATAGGTTGTTATTATCATAATATTTACATTTGTAAACCAATCGAATACAAAAACTAGATCTACAGCAGTTAAGGCAAAGGTTGCATATAGTAAACTGCACTTACAATATTTTGTCGAGTTTCGGGCAAATGAAGTTGGACGCCGGTCTTTGGCCGTGCAGCCATACGTTCATTCTCAATGATAATATTGGCTTCATTTCCGGCATTTCGTATCCGTTGCTTTATCAACAATAGTATACCGGCTACTACGAGTAAGACGATAAAGCATCTAAAAATAGTTAATTTAGTTTTATTTTTTTAATAGATCTGAATTATCAGTATCAGTGACAGTATGGCACATAATACCGTTTTTTAAAAGTAGGTAACACATAATAAATTACAAGCTAAGTAAAATCAAAGATTGCCCTTACGCTGCGAAGATGACAAAGAAGAGTACCCAGTTGATGGGAGGTGATTGGGCGAATGAGATCTGAATCTTGATGGGGGTTTCGAAGTCTGTCACGCTGACCAAGAATGTTGTGTTTGAGTCGATTCCGAAGACGTTATCGTTGGCAGGGTACGTCCTTTTGAGGCCTTCTGCTGTGCAATTGGCCTTGATCTTCTTTGTGATGTTACCGTTTCTGTCTTGTATGTCCAAATGTACGATTGCTGTGGTATTATTGTGTTCACAATTCACAGTAAATTGCACATCAACGTCACGTTTAAATGGGGTTGAGGTAAAGTAGATCTTCTCCACGTACTTGTCTTTGGGGTCATCTGAATCCAACTTGAAGGTGTAGATGAAGTCGATGATTAGTTCATCTAAAGTTTTTGAAGTTAGTTTACAGAATATTCTTGATATAATAGTATGATTAGGTAGTAAAAAATAATTTTTTAAATTTTACTTAAAATTAAAAGTTGAATGACTTTTATAAACTAGGGTTTGTCGTAAGTTAGAATATCAGATCGAAACGAACGCTTAATTTTAATCTGCTGAGCTAACAATCTAATGCTGTCACGGCTTTTCACTTACAAGTGCACGACTGGTTATGGTCGGGTCGTCCGCGGTATTTGTTGTCACATTGGTCGCATTTTAGGCCAGATGCACCTTTCACAATGCAATTACAAGATCCGTCGCTATTGCAAGTCTTCGCTCTGACACCGCAGTCACATTCTAAAAATGTTGAGGTTAACATTGACAATTTAATTAGACGCTCTGTATATAACTATTTTTGAAAAGGTATAAACTTGGAAATATCAAGAAACGCATGATAAACAACAATTAATCGTTTTAAAAAAAATACTGGGTATACCACCTTGGTTACTTTTAAAACTTACTTTTACATTCAGCTCCATTCCTGGGATCTCCATAGTATCCATCCTCACAGTACTCACAGTTGTCGCCTTTAGTGTTATCCGAACACTGAGCACACTTTTGCCTTGTCTGCTTCTTAATCACATCAATCAGACTTCGTCTCTGTGTAGCCGTACAATTAGAATGACCATTACATTGGCATTCTGGCTCTCCAATGTAGTAGAACTTCTTGCCCTGCTTCTCATCACATCTAGCCTTATCTTCTGGTTCATCACTATTCTTTGCCTTCAGACATTCTCCTGTACCTCTATTGTCACCACTATCACACCATCCACAACTTGGTCCCACTAGCTGACATTCTGTAGCATTCTTCTGGGCTCCACAATTCAAAGGGTCTAGTTCACAAGTGTGTCGATGGTGGTTGTTATTGGCCGTCACCCACGTAGGGCATTGGCCAAAAGCAAAGTGAATGTTGAAGGTCTCCATTGCTATACATTGCCTTGTACCTGGACACCACATACAATTGTGGTCTACACACTCATGACAACTATCCAGCTGGAAGCACGCCGTACAATTCTGTTCTTGAGGGAATCTGAAGGGTTCACGGAAGTTACTGAACGGGAACGGTGGAGTGTTCTTCCTCGTAGACTTTATCAAGGCGACTTCACTACTGTGAGTTCCAGCGATTGAGTTGTACCGCTGCCATTGTTCTGATATCATCTGTTCTTGTTCCTTGTGTGATACACACTGCTTCTTTCGGTCGATCCATGAACATTTGTAGTATTTACAGCCGTGACATGTCAATCCCATACTGCATGATTGTTTCTCAGCTACCGACACCGACGTCTTTGTGTTCATCTGAGTGCACATTCGTTGGTCTGTTTGTATTTCATCTAAACACGATGCCGATGATGCCTGGCATAGAGATGTGGATGAACACCAACCACAGTTAGACTGTGATACGCATTTGGTGCAATCTTTGATTGTAGAACACATTTCTTGATCGATATGTAGTGTAATGTCAGCATCTGGGCAGATAGAAGCTTGTGGTCTCACAGAATTCGACTTGATTATGTTAGAAAAGGGTTGAGCATAAGATACGTCGCTTCGTACTGACTGACATTTCTTCCCTACCATACCACACTTGATTCCTTTGGCTATGTTATAGCATTCGGCATTAGTTGAGGCTTCGTTATTACATTCTTCTACAATTTATTTTGGTAAAGCATTTATTAAAAAAGTCATAGGTCAATATAACATAACATAGATCTTGTATTCAACATATAATAGCTCGTATAAGACAGACGCATATAAATATCCCAAAAATGTAAAAAAACTTACTGGCCAAGGTTAACACCAAAACGTCATTCTTCATAACACCATTGAAGCCGCCAAACACGTATATATTTTTACCATTGTCTACAGTAACCATAGAATGAGAATACCTGTGGATGTCATCAATATCCTCTACTGACATTTCTTGCCATTTCTTACAATGAGTGTCATATATAAGTAGATGAGAAGAGTAGTATCCATTACCATGAGGCAAAGATTCGTTTGGAGAGTTACCTCCAAAAGATACCATGATATCATGTATTAATACTGAAGAATGGCGGAATCTTGGAGAGGTGAATGGTTTCATCTGGGTCCTGGAAAGAATTTTTACTAATAGTAGATACTAGGTAATAAAGTTATGATATTTTTTGGAATACGAACATACCACGTGCGAGTTAGAACGTCATAGCTAATGAATTCGTCAGTAACGGCATAGGCTCCATTAGAAACGTGAAGAGACCCTCCAAAGACTAATATACTTGGTTGTTTTGTGTCTGGAATCAGGACCGATGAGTGACCAAATCGACCAATAACACTCGGGTCAAGACCGTTGGCCAATGGATCTTCCCATATCTGGTTGACTGAAATCATGAAGTTAAGAGTAAAAAATTATATCATGAACCACAAAACGATTATTGTAAATAAATATGAAGCCATCCTTCTAGTAATTTTTAAATAATTTGTAAAAATGTCCAAAAGTCTATTGATCAAATCTTACCCAAATCGTAGATCTGTACAAAGGGTAAATAGCCAAGATATGGGTTGTACCCAAAACACAGGTACATTTTGTTGTTGTGGACATGAGCTGTATGTCCAGCAACCGCCGATGGTCTTACGTCAGAGCCATTGATATGACGAGAAACTCGATTCCAGGTCTTGCTTCGAATAATAAACTCCCAGACTTCATTGGTAATAAAAGGTATACCGTCTTTTGGGGTTATCACTCCACCAAATATGTACAAGCTTCCCTATAATGTAATTTTTACAATATGACGATATTACCCTAATAAATCAAACAAACAAAATGATAAGATTTAAATTTTTTTTAATTAAAGACTTCAAACAAAACAACATAAATATCAACAACATGCCTGATAATAAACCATTGAGTGGTCGTATCTGTTTTCGGGTACATCCTCACCATTTGTGACAACTTCTTCAAACTCGTTGGTCTTGGTGTTAAAAACAACCAGGTCTTTAGCATCTTGTCTGCTCAACATGTAACCACCATAAATGTAAATAAGATCATCCACATTAACAGCCGTATGACCTGCTCTCGGATGGAACAATTCAGCATTCTTAGCTTTTACGACCAGTCGATTCCACGTCGATTCGGTTTTCGGAGACTAAAATAATATCAAGTTACTCTCTCTATAAAGTTGATCATATTATACTCAACTTCACAGTCAAAAAGGTATATCATACCTTACCATAGTATGTCCAATAATGCCATTTCCTAAACACCAGAACAAAAAGAAAGAACTTACTTGACAAAGATGGCCATGTTTATCATCCGGACATGAACACTTTCCATTCACACATTTACCGGTCGCACAAGGTCCTTCCTTGTTCTCCATACTCGAATGACAGTACTGTAGCTCGCAAGACTCTCCAGAATGACCAGGTTCACAAACACATATTCCTTTCTTACATGTACCTTTACCACGACAATCATATAGACATTTGTCATAGGTGTAGCTTATATTGAAGCCTTGGTTGTTTATGGCTATGTCGCTAGTAAAGTACAGTATGGCCATGCCTGAAGGGACCATGAATTCTTGCTGAGGTGACAATTTTCCGCTGAAATTAAATTTTTAGTTTTAAAAAAGTAGTACGACATCATTTTAGGTTGAGTATGAACTCTATTTTTAGATAAATATTGACTTGTCTAAAATTTTGAAAACAATTTTAAGTTCAAAAAATATTACCCACAATCCTAAAAAGAATAAAAGTATTTAAAAAATTTGGACTCACCTTAAAGCAGCAATTAAATTATCATTGACATTAGCACCGTCGTATATGTACAAGTGGTCCCAGTTGAGTTCGGTGTCAAACTCGTTGAACTTGAGATGTAAAGGACCCTTCTGATCTCCTTCGATGATCCATAAGCAGTTGGCAGCAGACGGATACTTCCCAAATCCATCCATTATGACACCCGACCCATTCGTCAAACTGTAATAAACAGTATTTCTGATTTGGAAGGTAAACAGTATTGGTAATTGACAGTAAACACCAATAAAAGTAATACCACATGCAATATATAACCATAAAATAAAAAATACCTTAACTGTTTTTTATAATAATTAAACTTTCTTTTTAGTTTTTGACCGAAAATCCAACAGTAACTAATAATAATGAAAATCTTACCGTTGCCTTCCAAAACAACTCTCACATTGAGTACCTCGCCACCCAGGATGACATATACACCTTCCTTCTCTACATTCACCATTATGACACGGACTATCACACTGTTTGACAGATGAGACACTCGGTCGATGCACTTGTAATACAGCATCTGATGGTTCTAATAGAAAAATGATAACAATAGTCAGCAATAAAACAGGTAAAACGCTAGATATCCTAATTGAAGTAGAGGTATTCATCATCCTTTGGTCCGAACTTTTCGACCTTTGAGCTTCTGACGTTGTTGTTGATTCAGATATCCTGCTGTTTTTAGTAGATTCGTTAAAGTTATACTTCCAAATACCGGTACTTTCATCATCAACTTGCTCCGGTACTTCACCAACCTCACAATTCTTTGTATCAACCCCACTATTAATTTCATCATCTGCACATCCTCCACCATATTGCTCATTAGAATCATCCAAATATGACTTAGAACAATAGCAATCCACTCCACCGACTTCTGAATCATCGTGCCAGCTACATCCACGATTCTGGCACCTCGACCTTCCTTGTTGACATGATGACTTTCGTATCATCGACGACTCCTCCATGGCAATCGGACGCCACATTGCATCGTCGCGCATAAAGTAATAGATTCGAACGCCCCGCGGCGCATCAGCGTTCTGCCCCTCTGTCGTTTCTCGTTTGATTCTTCGTCTTTCCACAACAAAATGAAGAAAAGGTGGTCTTCTCGATGAAAGTCGACTCGGTTAGTTCACTGCTGACGTTGAGGTAAATCCATCAATACCCGTTAATGTCCTGAAACTGTTGTTTTTAGAAGGGTCGTCATGTTTTGGACGTTGTAAAGCGACTCGGAGTAGGGTTGTAAATGGAAAAAAAAACCGTTTCTAATCAATAAATGAGCGGTTCAGAAATGCAAATCGCGCTAATCTTAAATTTACTGTTATAAAAGCTACAGTAATATTAAAAATAAGAGAAAATTTTAAATTATTTCTACAGTTTCTTGGCTTAATAGTCATATAGTATACTACTGAAAAATTACGACAACAACTGGCGATACATTTTTAAAATTCTAACAAAGAGTCATAACTTTCCAGCATAATAAAGCAACAAAAAGCGGAAATTTATACAGTTCCGTATACATATCAAAACAACGTAACTTATTTTCTACATAGTTTTCACTCTTGCAACATAAATAATAGTAAACAAAAAAACTTAACTAATACCTAAAACATTTTTTTGATTTAACTTTTCAAAATTTAATGCAACAATTCAAAATAATGACAAATCTCCCAGCTTCGCTTTTCATACTAAAGACATTAAACATATTTTACCGAGCAAAAGAAACATTCATCAATTACACAAAAAATTGTAGCCACTGAGCAAGTAAGACATATGTTTGACATAACATGCCAAAAAGATACAAAATTTAAAAATAAGTGGTTTTAAATCCCATTTTTTCAAAAGTACAAAGTAAATGTTGTAGAGTAAAAACTTAATGATGAGCAGTAACATATAAACTAATATCCCTTTAATAAGCCTTTTCAAACTTGTGTCATGTTCAAAAAATAGAAAATGTTGCAGTTCAAAAAACCAAATTCGAAATTTCTGTCAAAATCCGTTGAATTCAGAAAGCAGAGTGCGCGAGAAACAAAAAAGAGAACTCTGATTTGATCCAGTGGTCTGTCAGCCAAGGTATTGAAGGTCGAACACAAATTAGACGAAGAAATCGAGAGGCTAAATTTAGAATCCTTTAAAAGTTACGCAATCTACACCACAATATTTTCCTTAGTTAAGTAAAACATTAACTTTAGCGTAGCGAACAGTTTAAAAGTAAAACATGATAATAGGTGACAACAGCTACTATAACGTCAAACCTACGTAGCATAAAAGCTATTACTTTTTCTCAATTCTTCGAAATAATTTTTCCACAAGCTCATAGCAATATAAGACCTTCTAGTCAACCTTTTATAACATGTTGTATTTGAAACAAGGAATGTTAGAAACGTATTCAATCCATCAAACATGGCTTAAAAAGATATAAGGCTTCGGTCTTTATTTGCCAAGCATCTCACCTGAGCGTTTGTTTTATTTACCTTGGCAATGGGTCAAACGCCGCCAAACAAGACCTAAAAGGAACACGAAATACGATGCTCACTTATGATAGCAAAATCTCTTAATTGGGCCGTTGTTGGCTACTACGGAATTCTGACTATTAATACCTAGTTCTACATGCAAAAAATTACAGTAAGTTCTGGATGAAAGAATATCTAGTTCAACCATTTCTTCTCAACTATCAATACTACAGGTACTCTTATTTAGTGTAACACCAAGATTCGTGTCCCTAACTGTCCTATCAGATACTAACCACTAAACTTAAAGTTAATTGAACGTGACATAGTAATATTTAACCCTGACGTTCTAGTACCACAGAAATCAGCGACTTTGATCGTATGCGCAAAACTAAGACTACAAGGAAGATCTTTTGTAAATATTCGTGAACATTTTAAGATTTCGTATACAAACAATAGGAGAAAAAGGATTCAAATCATTTTAATAGTTTTGTAACGATGACAGACAAACAAAGTAATTTATAACTAAAAACATCTATACTATTAAAATAAAATACAAGCCCAAGGCCAACACAATTAATAAGAGTTAACTTTACAAGTTTTTAATTAAAAGTGACAGCAATTATTAATTTAACTACACCTAAACACGAATTGGTAATATTTTAAGTAGACTTTTCTTGTGTTTTGTTAAAAACATTTATTTTTTCAGTACTTTTAAGAACAATATAATAACATAATTGCTTAGAAATTGCTTTATTTTAATCTCAATTTATTTTTTTTTCATTTTTTACTAATTTAAACATTGTTATAAATCTAAAACTACGTCACTTTGTTAAAGGACCAGTTCGCCCATTCAAATATCATTGGCATTCTGTCGCAAAAATTCGACGTTCATTTTTTTTGCAAAAAACCTGAGAAGGTCGGTCCCAAATTAGAAAATTCATTTCGACACCGACCCACTCACGTTTTTTGAGAAAAATGATTTTGATTGAAATTGCCTGATTTTCGACGCTTTTTGCGACAGAATGCCAATGATATTTGAATGGGCGACCTGGTCCTTTAAAGTTTCAAGTATCTAGAAATTTTTCAATATTTTCATTTAATTTTTTCAAAAGCAATTAATGAAAAGTTTACAAATCTAGCCTATAATTGTCCCAATCATGCCTTTGTATCATTCTTAATGATGTTTACAAGTAGAACTCTACTTTTAGTCTTCCGTACTGGCCGTGTTGTTTTTTCTTTTGCCTTCGGAAAAAGAAGCCAACGCTGCAGCTGCCATTCTTTCCCGCCGCATCACAGGGCCTCAGGCCTTAAACGGGCCAAAGAGAGTGCGGCCGAAAGAAGGGATTTCAGTGAGTTTTCAAAACATATCAGGAATTCCCAGTTAATAGTGTTATGGCTGGCGGGGTAATCAAACGATTAGTTACTACATTGCCTTGCGTATTATAGCTTTGGGTCACGATAACGTGCAATGTTCTTTAAGAGTTGACGTGCTCGACAGTTCTTATTTTTATAAATTTATTTTTTGTTTTTTCGCTCCCTAAGGATCTATAATTTTGAAACATAAACTTCTGACAATGTTTTTTGTATCTGTCACTAAAATTTCGGAACGTTTCGAGGTTTCGCTTTTTCAATTTCCGTGTTTTCTCCCTTATCAAAATGGAGCGGCACTGAAGCGGCGGACTTTCCACTTTGCCGGTTCCAACGTGGCCGAGGGTTTGGCCTAGTGAAAACACGGCACGGAGAAATGAATAAAGCAATGACTGTGCGCGAGTCTTGCTTAGGGGAAGGCTGTTTTGTGTGCCGTTAGAATGAGACTCACTGCCCAAAACAGGCTATTGTTGTTTTTTGGTATCATTCTTGATGGATTACCGGTATCGTGATGTATATTATTGTTCTTATCTGACCGCGCAAAGCTACAAAGTTCGTCAAAACAGACATACAGAGTTTAGAAGTTACTTATATTATAGAGGAAAGCGCTGTTTTTAAAGTTTTTTGATGAAAAATACTTTGAGCAAGAACTAAAACTACAGCTCTAGCTAGAGAAATATAAAACTTAATCTTATAAATTGCAAGCGCCATTCTTAACAAAAAGGTAGGCTTATCTTTCGTATGACAACCTTTTTTGCCGCCGCTCATTCAGATTTTGATAAAAGATAATATTGTTTCGGAGTAAGCATAACATCCATTCCGATTATTTTTTGCGCCGCGCTAACTGGTTCGAGAGCTTGTTTTAGACGTTCAAGAAAACGGCTGTAATGAATAGAGAATGATTCTGAAGAGTTATTTCTCCTTTCTCCCTCCAGTTAATAGGGAATTCAACTGATGCGCTAGCCTTTTTTCTGTCCGGGATTGGGTAAACAAACGCTTTACACCTTTGTACCGTAATGTAACCTTTTGAGTACATTTTTTAAAAATGAATACATTTGTCTTGAATCGCGACGCTTTGTCTTTTAAAAGTACTAACTTGATGTCATACTCATTTTCCATATGTGTATAATAGTATCATAGAGCACAACACTTCTGTAACACTACTACAGCATAGAAACCTTAAGTATTTACCGTACCGAATACGAATATTCAGCTGTTAATTTCACAATTGTCATGGCTGTATGCGTGTTACTATAATACTTAATAAGACCTTTCAAACACCTTCCATGCTCTGACTTTACAGTTGCTAAGGTTACAAAGTTCCTGTATAACTATGTTCTAAACTTGCCCATCGTTCGAAAACACCTGCTTTGAAACCGTTTATGCATAAAAATATTATTCAAGGTTACGCGAAAATATAATAGAAAGAGAGCGACCATAAATTATTAGCTGGACCTATTTAACTATCAAAATAATATGTAGAATTTCAGATGGGGATATCCAAAGATAATAGCGGATATTATAATAGTTCATTAGTATTAGTACTTGAAGTGTTAGAATATAGCTAACGACTTATTTTCTACAGATTGGCGACAGCAGCGAGTATAAATGATAAAATTAATTAAGCATCAAGTGTTTAGAAAGGTATGAGAACTTTAGTAAAAATAAAGTCACAATAAATGTCTTAACAAGGCGAGAAAATATCAAAAATGTCCAAAAAACGCGAAAAAGACCAAAAACAAGGTAATTTTGGTCGAATAAAACCTAAAATTGTGAATTGTTTCGGATCAAAAACATGAAAAACTAAAATATTTGTGTCTAAAATAATATATTTTACCCGATATTACTCGTTTCACAATACAATCCCCCGATTCCACCTCAAAAACGACCTTATTTTGACCTTCCTCCTTAAATTTCCGTAAAATCGGCTGAAAATCAATAAAAATCTTTTTTTCTTCGCTCTGAAGACGAAAAGAAAAAGATCTTGTTCTCAACTCTCTTCCTCCTCATCCCTCCGAATCCCCACCTTTACATTATTTTGTACGATTTTCCGTGTTTTGCCGTTCGAACTAATTGTTTTTGTCAAATTGTTCGAAATTTTGTTGAATTCGATATTTTGTTACCTAAAACAATATAATTTTTATTTTATAAATTTAGATAAGGAAAAACCAATTTTTTAAAAGTTAATCACAGAAAGGATAAAACAGTGTTTAGTTACATTAACAATGACATTTTAAAGAACATTTTTTCGAATAAAAATCCGGAGGCTCTTTGAGTTCCTTCCAAGTATAATGTTTATATTATAGTTCCTAGAAAGGTGTGACGTTCCGCTCGCGGGCACACCTAAAAAGCTATCAGTTCTTTATTCGAATATTTTGCTTGCTCTTTCTGGTGTTCTTATCTGGAGATTGCTGGTTTTTACGGGTATTTGCAATAGTTTGTGGATGAATAATATCAGATTTAGCGGATTAATGAGTTTTAACTAAATCTTTTGCTAATCAGGGTGGTTTTAGACAAAAGGCGACGTTACTGTTTGTAAGATGATACTTTTAATTTATAGCAAAGCTAAAGGTCTAACTTTGATGTTACAAATTAGGTATATTCAGTGAAATTTCGTCTGTTATATTGCTTTTAATATAACATAACATTTACAATGTAGTATTTTCATGAAATGTGTTCATGTTTGAAATTTAATTTTTAAATATAATAGCTTTTGCTTGGTGCTTTTAATTGAAGTGTTTTCTATTGAAATTCCAAAATTTGCTCCGATTTATCGATTTGACAATGTTTTTGCATGATTAATCGTTTCTTGTGTTGATTAATGTTTTATTCTGTTTTAATTGTGATCTAAAATTGGCAAGAACTTTATAATCAAAGTCATTGTTTATTCTATAAAGAAAAACTTCATATTTTAAGTCTGCATCGTGTATTATAATTTAACTTAATGCCCTTGTATTTTGAAATTTTCTACAAATTATTTAGTATTGTAATTGCTCTAATTAGTATTGTAAGAAAGTATGCGTTTTTTATTCTTCTTTACTTTATATTTTTATATTAATATATTAACTTTTAGTTCGTGCATTTTGTTATGTCCTTATAGTCAACATTAGTGGACACAAACTTGGTATCTTGGAGTGAAATGGCAGATGCTACAGCCCCATTGGTGCACAACGGAACTGATTATGTATTCTTACGATCAGCGACAGCACATACCGTAGCCGGCTTCTTTACATGGGCAGCTTTGTTTATCACCATACATCAGGTAAGAGCTTCGGTTTTATGTTTTGTATTAAGGGTAACAAGAGGAGGATAGCTACTAATAGTTTTGGGTGAGGAGAATTGCTGTCCAATTATTATATCTACATTTTGTAGATCTACCAACACTTGCGATGGTATTCTTGTCCATCAGAACAGCGATGGATCGTTCGTATTTTATTTATTGTCCCAGTGTATGCATTCGACTCGTGGTTGTCATTGATCTTCTTCACCAATGATGTTTACGTCTATTTTAATTCGATCAGAGATTGTTACGAAGCCTTTGTAATCTACAGTTTCTTGAGTTTGTGTTATGAATACCTTGGAGGCGAGAGTAACATCATGGCCGAGATCAGAGGGAAACCAATTCGGTAGGTTTAGAAATGATTTCAAAGACTATATTGGATTTTTACATGAATTTTGCTTTAACCATGCTTTTTATGTCTTATGACTGGAGAATTCAAATTAATATAAATTTAAAGCCACTAATATTAATTATAACCAATGTAACCATTCAGACCAACTAACTATGCCACCCTTACCTGTTGTTTGGCTGGAAAGCAGTACACGATCGAATTCCTTCGCTTCTGTAAGAAGGCTACACTCCAATTCTGTCTGATCAAGCCTGTCATGGCTGTTTTGACACTCTTCTTGATGATGATTGGCAAGTACGAAGATGGAGATTGGAGTATGGAAAAGGGATACTTCTACGTTACTATTGTCTACAACTTCTCCGTATCTGTGGCGTTGTACGGTTTGTTCTTGTTCTACACAGCTACTCGTGATCTCCTACACCCTTATAACCCCGTTCTCAAGTTCTTCACCGTTAAGAGTGTCATCTTCTTGTCGTTCTGGCAAGGTGAGTGTTTTCTCTTGGTTTCTTAATGTATTTAGCTGAAAAGAACCGTTTGGATGAGGTGCCTTATTAGATTTACGTTACTCATTCTAATTGTGACAATTTAAGGTTTCTTGATTGCCATTTTGGGTGCCACTTCTGCCATCGACCCTGTTGTAGATGCAAATGGAACAGAAATCATTTCCCGCGGAACTGTAGCTGCTGGATACCAAAACTTCTTGATTTGTATTGAAATGTTCTTCGCTGCCATTGCTTTACGATTTGCTTTTGGAGTTTCCGCTTACATCGATGCTCATGCTGGTAGGTCATAATACTTTACATTACTACAAAAATAACCTACAAAATCAATATAAATTTATCTTGAAAGTTGTGTAATATAGGTTTTTAAGTAAAAAATTAATTTTAATTCGTTTTTAGTCCACAATGACGGTGCCGAACCTCGGCCGATGACTTTGCAAAGTATCAGTTCTTCGTTGAAAGAGACCATGAACCCCCGTGACATCATGCAGGATGCCATCCACAACTTCCATCCTCAATATCAGCAGTACACACAACACTCGAACCCTTCTCGATCGGTTGGTTTTTAGTTTTCTTGAGTTATTTATAAGAACAATACTGGTATATTATAATAAAGAGTAAAAGGATGACTTTAAGTAATAGTGTTAGTTTTGTGACAGTTTAGTGCTTTTTTGTACCTTTTTCTGTACGTTTCATTAATGTGAGGTTTTGTAGCCTTCTTGTATAGTTATTAATGTATCAAGGATGTACTTTACATTATATTTTATGTTTTATCGTATCTTTGTGCTTAGTGGTAGTGGTCGTAACTGTTGTGCCTTATTATAGATGTCGTCATCGTCGGCACAGAACGTTCACGCCGTTCCTAACTACAGCGCGACGGCAGACCCGTTCTCGCCCGAGGCATTGCCCAATACTTCTTTGGATAATCCATTCGCAGCCAGCTCTAGTCATCAGGCGAATCGAAGAGGCGACGAGAGAAACGGACAGTCTCTCATCTAGAGGATACGAATCTGCATATTGTAATGTGTAAATGGGTAGTCGTGTTTGAGTATTCGGTGTGATACTGTAACTTTGTAGCTACCATGTTATTACAATGTCACAAAGTTGTTATTGATATCACAAAGACATACATACAAAAGATTGTCAATATCGCATGAGAAGGTGACAATCTTGAGTATGGACCTTGTATTATACACCATAGTGTGATGTATACTACAATACGTCGTGTCTTGTGATATGATAACAATGAAAAGATACAAAGCGACACGTATCATGTTACAATACTCAAACTAGGCGTTGTAAAAATCTTAACGTTCCAAAATTTCAAATAATCTAAACTTTTATAAATTAATATTGTAAACTTATGGTGCATATTATTGTTGTGAAACCTGTTCAGCTAAAGTAATATCAGAAATCTCGATGAATAAATGTTTGTTTTATTGGTGTTACTATGGGCTGTGAAGTTTAGTGTTACTATTGGCTATCAAGTTCAGTTTTCCTTTGATTTTGATTGAGAAATGCGTAGAATTGGCCTTCTATCTATTTATTGACCTTCTAAAGTATAAGATTAGTCTTGGGATGATGTTGGGAACAAATTCTACGCATTTTTTGACCGAACCTATTATAGTGACGGGCACGTTCAATACCTAGTTAATGGTTGTGATGGAGTGTTTTGAGTATGTTAATATTACTATGTCGTCGCAAGGCTTTATGAGGTAACAATCATAATGTACACATCAAGTTTAATATGTAAAGTTTCAAATTATATTAGTCTACTAAAACTTGGTAGACTTATATTAATCATACAAAGCTGCTTACGTGTAGCCACAGTAACAATGTCAAAAGGCGTATTAAAGAATCAGACATTTTAGGGCGCAGCACCAGCTGATCCCGCCGACCCCAACAACAAGGGTCTGACATCATCAACATCTGGAAACAACTACAGTAGCATGGGTTACACCGGTCCTCAAGGCGAAGTCACTCCCCAAACACCGAGTAAACCTAACTTTTTCGATTAACTAATCTGTCTCTTTTTAGTATATTGATACTGTAGAAGTATATACTGTATTTGTAGTGTTAACCAATGTAATTTTTACGTAGTAAATTGTGTTAGTAGATTATTGCTTTAGTAATTTAATAATTGTTAACATAAATTTTGTTAGTTTTTGTTTTTTTTAAACCCGTTAACTGTCTTTATCCTTTATTAGTTTAATATTCTTAAACATACGTTTACTTTGAACCTTTTGTAGTTAGTATTATATCAATATGTATAACAAGTTAATCAAAATAGTTTATTTAACAAAGTAGATTATTGTATTACCGCAAGCGACTAGTACTTGATGAGTATCGCTTCTAACCAAATCACCGAGTTCTCTCTGATCATTTATGCCATTATATTGTTGATAGACTCTAATTTCAAAGTTTTTGAACTTTATAGTTATCGTAAGCTAAACTTTGCTCTTATGATTAACATAAAAGTTAATAAGAACTTTGAATTTAGGGTATTTTAAGTGTAATTTTCTATTCTGTTTGTAAGATGTGTAACACGGTATTCACATGATTTTTAAACCCAATTTTAATTGTAATTTAAAGCACTGCTAATTTGTTATGTTCTTTTTAAATGTAACTTAATTTATCATGAATTCACACTTTATATTAATGTTATTTGTAGTATTAGTTAATGAAATCGTTCATCTTTATATAAAAATGTCTTTACTTTCTTGTCCTTAAACGTATATCCGATTGCCAGATTATCCTACGATAATCAAATCCCTGGTGAAACTAATTAAGATCTCTTGCAACGATGTATTATATCTATTTATAATACGTTCTACTTGTTCTATCCATGAATAGTATATTATCCATTGTGTCAATCTGTATGTTCAATATTAATAGTGTAATATACATTATATCCACTGGCTAACAATAGTTCGCTAAGCCATGACAAAAGTCTACAATCATATATTATCACAATTACAAGATTACACACATATATCTATCTTGATGTAATCCTGTAAAACATCTTTTGTGCTGCTACTCCATCTAAACTCCAAATGTCATCTTGTCGAGAGTTTTATTGAATTAAATTATCAGTTTAACTTATTGCATAATAAATATTATAGTGATAAGGCAGGATTTGGTATGTATGAAAGGCATGTTTAGATATTATCATGAAAGCTTTGGGCATGTGTAATACATGGTTAGGTAGATATAAGATAAAAAATGTCAAAATATTTTACATTAAAGCAAGATTTTTTATAATAACTTATAGTGTGGCGAAAAACGAAGTATATAAGACAATATGTCATAAAATGCAATAAACATAGTATACCATAGATATGACCATAGTATATCAGTAAGTAAACATCTAAAATAAATTTACCTTGTCGTTCCTACCAAAACATCTTTTGCTTGAGCGATTTCAGTTGAGAAGTTGTACATACAGTAAGGGAAAGAGATTCAGATCCCCTGAAAAAAGCAAGTATAACATCAAGATTAAAAAAACTACCTACAGTAAATTAAAGCAAGATTATAAACATAAATTTACAACAATCAACCTATGTATGTTAGAAAAATGTAAATCAATGAAGTAACCATAAAATACCAAAAACGTAAAACAACTTACCTCTTTTCAGCTTCACACTTTTTGACGTTGAATTTACAAAGATTCAGATGCACTCCTCGTTTATCGTCACAGACCGGCTGTATCTCGTCCCCACAATGGTCGTCACAACATTCTCCATCATAAACAATCTCAATCGTGTGATTCCTATGCATCTGATTATGCTCACAAACGTCATTTTGGAATAAACATGGATTCCGATGGGTTTTGCCATTGGAATCACAAACTGGTTCATCTACAGCTGCACAGTCCGCCACTTCACAACACTTTCCTGCATGTAGCACTTGTAGATTATGTTCCCCATGCTTTTCTTGAACACATCGAGCAAGTTCAAACTCGCAACGGTTTTTGTGAGTGTTTCCAGAAGTGTCACACAACTCTGAAGTCTGTTCACAAGATCCTTTAGGTAATTCACAACATAATCCAGCATATTGAGGTGTTACCGACGAGTTCTGCTTCTCTGCTTCACATTGAGCGACTCTGAATTTGTGCTTGGTGAAAAATCGACAAGATTTTAGAAAAAATTAAGAAAATATTATTTTTTCGTATAAAAATTGCCTATAATTACTTTTTATACGAAAAAGGAAAACGCAAACTGCGTCCTACGAAAAATTATATTTACAAAATTAATTTTGTAAACTTCAAAAAAAAATGAATTCGTCTATAAAGTGTTACCTAAAATGGCACCAGTTCCGATGTGTCTTCTCTCCGTCGCATATGGGCTCATCTTCATCATCAGGACAATCGGTATCTCCACAACAAGCTCCTTTGTATGCTAATTTGATGTTGGTGCCGTTCCTCTTGTGTGCTACACATTGTTCAGCTTCAAACACACACATATTCACGTGTGTTTTACCATTGATATCACAAACAGGTGAGTAGAACTCAGGACATTGTTTTACTTCACAGCATTCGTCTGAAACATTATATTTTATTAATAAAATACGAAGCTGTTAACGTCAGATTTTATCATTTGGCTTACCAGGATAATCAACCAATATTTCTTTGCGGTTGGCAGACTTTCGTTTCACACAGTTCAGCTTTCTTAATTCGCATTCGTTTACGTATGTTTCACCTAAAACAAGGTTTTAATCAACGATTTTTCAATGTTTTGGTTAAAATTTAGAGGAAAAATTCGTTTGTTAAAAAATATTAAAATTATGTTTTTTAGCTTCAAACACCATCTTACCATTGCTCCCACAAATTGGCTGGTACATCTTTGGACACTCGATGTCACAATTGTCTCCAGGACATAATCCAAAGTTGCTGATTGTCAGATTGGCCGACTTGTGTCTCAAAGCAAGACATCTTTCGTTGCTGAACACACAGAGGTTCAGGTGCGTTCTACCGAGGTTGTCACAGACTGGATTGAATTCATCCCAACAGTCTAGTACACTACAACATGCACCTTCGTATATCAACGTGGTACCAGTGTGAATGTCATTTCGATGGTAATGATGATGTGGATTGTGAATGTCATGATGGCCGTGGTTGATGTTCTGCATCCATTTGTGCTTAATCTGGCATTGCTTGGCTTCGAAGTGACATTTGTTAATGTAAGTTATTTGATCAGAGCCACAAACCGGTTCGTACTCATCAGTACAGTTAAAGTCGCAGATGATTGAGGGTTGGATTTCCATTGGGAAGAGCTTGGCATCTTCTGCTGATTCTAAAATTCAGTAGAAGTTATGTATAGTTATTACGAAGATAGGTGTAGTACTGTTTTACATTGTTATTGTATTTGTGGCTGTCTTTGGTGCAAAATGCAGTGCTTTTGAAAAGCAGTGTTATATTCAAATTTTGAAAAAGCAAAAATTAGAGTAAAAGGTTTATTAACGTAATAAAAATGCAAACAAAGCATAGCTAATGCACAATGATATGTCATGTGTACTATGGAGATCTATGTGAGCGTGGTAACTATTGGTGCGCGAAAACGGTAAGACCGATAAAAATTGCAAAGTGAATATTAATCTATCAAAAAGTTAGTGGTAAAAAAGTATGTTTTGAGCAATATTGTTATAATTTTTGGTCGAACTAATATTGAAAAATAAAAAATTCAAAAAATTAAAACGGGTTTGCATTTCATTTACCTACAACTAAAATATAGGGCATACTGTTGTAGGTCTCACAACATTATGCCATATTTTTTGATATTGTCGTAGGAAAACAAACGTACCTATAAACACCGTACAATCTATAAAAATGTGAAAAGAGAAAGTGAAAAAATGAAAAAAAGTGAAAAAGAAATAAAAAAGTTTGGTCAAAAAGTAAAGAGAACATTTTCTATGGACTTTCTGACCAAACTATTTGTGAAATGTCAAAACTATTAGTGCTCATCCTCTGCGAGTGGGGGAGGATCTGAAAGTGCGTGCATGTGTCCAGTACCAGTAGCGCCAGTACCGTCGTGCTTGGTATGGCACACGACGCCTGTAGGTACGGCGTCTGTACTGTCGGCGGCGTGGTACTCTAAATGGTCGTCCAGGACGACGACAAACGTATAAAGTACCTGGGATTCCTTCTTCTTGGGTGTTTGATACAGGTTGGCTGTTTGGTGTATTCATTGCACTGTTGGGTACGGTATTAAATGGACCATTTGCAGTTGGTGCCACTGCAGTAACCGCTGAGAAGGCTGTTGGCTGATTGAGTTTGGTCGGCTGGATTCTGTAGAGTGTTTGTTTTGTCTGTGTAGTCAGTGGTTGATGGTTGACTGGTGGTTTTGTAGTTAAGATGGCTGGGTGTACTGTAGTATCTTCAGGTTTGGTTTGTTGAAGAGCTGGAGGTTTGATCTCGATTGGAGTAGGTTGTTTGGCCATAGTTTTACAAGTGCCATTGTTACGCAAAGTAAGTAAGGTTGTGGACAGTTCAATCTTGGACACGCGACATTGAGCCACCTGGAAGTGGCACAAGTTGCGGTGTTGCTGGTTGCGGGTGTCGCAGACTGGTTGGTTGGTGCTTACACATGATTCTAGGGTAGGGCAGCATCGACCGGTCTAAAAAGTGTTTGATAAGGTATTATTTTTTTGAACTTTGGTTATTTTTGCACAAAGTTTTTATATAAAAATCTTTTATCAGTTGTTTTGTCAATTAAGGTTTGATTTGTGCATTTACAAACTTACATAAGCTTCAGTAATGTTGTGCCCCAACTTTATTTCGTATATGCACTTGATCATTTCAAATTCACATTGCGTTTTGGTTTCGCCGTTCTGGTCACAGACCAACTCACTTTCCGGTATACTAGGGTCACTGCTGTCGATAAATGGGCATGGTTTGGTCAAACAAATCTCACATTTTCCTTTAAACAGCACTTCCAGCTCTGTATCTTGACATTGAGCTTTGGCGAATTCACAGTGATTGGCATAAGTGTTGAAGTCGGTACCACATATATGTTCTGTGTCTTCTTTCTTACAGTCCTTGTTCTCCATGATTCGACATTGATTGGCAGTACATTCTTCATCAGCTACTGCGCTTATCAGTTTTCCTTCTCGTGCTGCCAGACATCGTGCATAAGCGAACATACACAAATTTTTGTGAATCGTACCTTCATTGTCACATATTGGTTCCTTCTCTTCAGGACATAAGGGTTCCGGGCACTCGAAGTCGGTCTGTGTTATGTTTTGTGTCATAACTGATTGCGTGACAAACGCGTCTTCCTTTCGTTCTCCACTTTTGTCATCTTTCTTCCAACCGACCAGTCGAGTGATAGTGAGGGGAGCTGTTGGTGCTGGTGGTCTAGTGGAAGGTCTGGTTGTTGTTGTCGTTTTGGGTGTGGTTGTTTTTGATTTGGCACATTCTTCAAGGCTAATCAGCCAGGAGGTGTTTGGAAGCTTCTGAAAGTCTTAGTTAGTTGGATCTTTTTGTTTGTTTTTGTAAATTTTGGTATTTTACTTTAATTTATTTGAATTTCGAAACTTATTGGTGTTACCTGCTTTCTCTGTCTGCAGTTGAACATCTGGAATGTGCAGAGGTTGGGATGCGTCATTCCTTGGCTGTCACATACGGGTTTGTATTGGTTCGTACACTGTTTTGGGCATTCCTCCTTCTGGAAATGACAAGTTTACACATTTTAAATTTGATGCACCAAAATACACATGGTGTTTACACTGTTCTTGGAACAATTACTACCTTGCACGATAAACTGACATATAAGGGCATTTTTTATGAAGGGTATGGCACAATCATAGTTCTCTCAGTTAGAATATGGTCTTTTTAGTTCGATTAAGATTGTTATAGTTATGTATTGTCTAGATGGTTTTTCTGGTACCAGTGTATACCAAAAATTATATTCTTCCCAAGGCAAATTTTCTTACCGCAAGTGAAAATGTGAGAGAATTGGCTCTGCATGCTCCAACGTGGACTAGCACTCTCTCCTCAATCTTGTGTTGTCTCATCTTGCAGTTCCATTGAGCCAGCATACACGTCGATTGATGAGTATGGTTAGTATTATCACATACTGGAGTTCTTGGCTTTGTGTCTTCACATATCCTACAGTTTTCTTCTGTTTTGGAGGCGACTGTTGTAGTTGGTACTGGTGCTTTTGTTGTTATCGTGGTTGGCTTCTAAATACGTTTTTGAATTTGTAATGGGCAAACTGTATTACGCGTATGTTACTTACTGTGCCGTAAATTTAAAAAATTCTCCTGAACTTGGCAAGAACTTACCGTATCTTCACAAGCACCCGGCCGAACACTGTCGGGAATGTGTTCCTTCCCCATACTTGACTTTTTCATTTTGCAGATTCTGAATCTGTACAAACAAATATTGCGATGAGTGTTGTTCTTGTTATCACACACTGGTTCCCATCGTTTGTCACATTCAGCCGAGCATTGTTCGTCATGTTGTACTGGGGCGAGGGTATGGGTCTCGGGTTTGGGTTTCTGAGTGTCTTGGTTGGTCGTACTGTCAACTTGTTGTAGTGGAATCAAGGTGCCGTCTCCAGTTTCGTAGAGTTGAGATTGAGGCAGGGGATTCAGATGGGGTGAACGTTTTGAAGCATCAAGGGTTTTGGCTCCGAATGCAAGAGCTGGGGTTGATATTGTTGATGTAGATGGTTTTGCTGAAAGTTTTTGGCATATTTAATATTTTTATGTTTGTTTTTTTATAATTTAAATTTGAAAAATGTTTTTGTAAGTTTTTGAACTATATATGACTTACGTAGTTTAACCACATCATCGTGTGGGGTTTCTGCCAGAATGTCTTCTTCACTATTTTCGCTACACTTTCCATCGTGTTCGATTCCGATGGGTTGTCGACCTCGTTCTCTCAATGCGCACAATATTCTCTCGAAACTGCAATAACCGTTACATTTTCAGCAAATAATGTAACAAACTAATTATTGTTCAGTAAAATGAAGGCCGTAAAAGAAAAAACTTTGCAATATTTTCTGAATTACCGCAATATAAATAACAACTAATAGATCAAAAATAGTTTGAATAAAACTCACTAGCAAGTGTTCTGATGGGTAATTCCATTAGTGTCACACACAAAGTCTTCGTCATCTGGACATTCAAACTCACATCGACTGCTGCTTTTAGTGACCAGTTCTTCTTGAGGTAATAAGGCTGCTGACTCACTGTCGCTTTCACATTTGCCTCTGTATTTTAGTTTTAGAACGACATTTTGTGTTCGCTTTGCTACACATTTTTGGAATTCAAAATGGCATTCGTTTTCGTAACTTGTCCCTTAAATATCAAATCTGTTAAGTTAATAAGAAGTAGGAATTTAATGAAAAGGTTTTGATTTATTTTTGTGGATTTGTCTAAAATGTTATTTTTTGTCTAACATTTATAGAAGTCTTACCTTTTTCATCGCAAACCGGATTATAATGAGTTGAACATAAACTAGCAGGAGGACAGCAAGCTCCCTTGTAGTGAATATGTAACGTACTGTCTATAGCTTGAGCACAACTGAATTGACATTCATTTTCGTAGGTATGGATATCACTTCCACATACTGGTTTTAGTTCGCGGCCACATACACATTCTTTTCCTGTCGCTAAATGATAAAAGTCTTGCTTTATAATATAGGTTTACTTACTTGCTGAAGCTACTGTAGCGAACCATATAAATAACGTTACTGACTGTAAAGTAAATAGGGCTCTATGACGCATATTACATATATATGTTTGTCTGAAAAAAAAATTTCTATTACAACGGGTAGTGTGTTTTATGAATGTAGAATAATGTTTTTAAATTTAAAACGGTTTAAAATTAACAAATAATATGAAACAACATGATTCAAACATTAAAGCGCGACACGGTAATTTCACGATCGAAAAATTTCGAAAATCCAGAATTTTAAATAAAAAACTATTTAATGGTTTTAACGGTTCTCTTACAAATACTTTTACTTTTCTCATAAAAAGTAATTGAAAGTGTGAAAAGTAACTGCGGGATAATTTGGAACAGAATTAGATGAGAAACCAGCAATCTCGTTATACTTTTTGGTACACAAAATCGGGGTGAAAAAGATCGTCGAAACAAATTGCTGTGCCCGTTTCCTGTCAGAAGGCAGGGGCCGATGGTTTAATGTGAAAAGAAAACAGTTTCTAACTGACATGGTAAATGTGATTCCTTTGGGTCGAATTTGATAAGGGTTGTGTTGAAAAAACAGCTGCCTGAGGCGCCGTAGGGTACAAACAACTTACTGTAACGAGACATAACAGACTTGTGATTGAGAGGGAAGTACAGTACAGAGAAATATGAATATTTCTAAAGAGTATAGTGTTATCAGAGACAACATATTGGTATACGTTTTTATGCTGTAAAACAATTTATCGTTATTGTATTCACAGTATGAGACAAAAACTGGCATAAACCACGTCTAGTTATGACTGTAACAAAATTGAAAGTTTCCTACAAAAATCCGACCAATCTTGTTTTCAATTATGAAACACAACGTTCTCAGACAAGAACGATGACAACGTCAGTCTTCTCCAGAACAAGATTCTTTAAACCATTTCATTTTGTTTCATCTGCCGTTTTTACCTTTTTGACCTCAATGACACTTGAAGACATATTTTTTTGATCGGCGCTTTCCGAAAGATGAATCTTCAGTTTAAGCGGCAGTTCAAAAAAACGGTCGATTATGGATCGACGCCATTACGTCTCGGTCGGGGGTCTTCTCTACATCACCTTCGGCTATTTCCGGTAAAAGAAAGACGTGGGTTGAGAGGGTATTTGCGGGGGTAAACATGGGTACTGTAACTTATAGGTTGGCGGAGAAAGATTATTAAGTTTAAGCTATCTTCTATAGGCAAAGCATACTTTTTGACACTTTTTTTCAGTAAAAACATAGGTTAAACTTAGTGAGTAGGTTTCAGTTACTAATTAGATGACTTTAATATTAGTCAGCTGTCAAATTGAAGGTCAACTTTAGGCATTACTTGGAAACGCGGAAACTGCGCAAAAAATTGATACAGAATGATACAAGATTTACAACAAAAACAAGTTACACTTACCTGAAAAAACAAAATCTAGTTACAACTACTTAAACAGGCTTATAAATCAGTTTACTTACAAAAACAAAACTATGTTACACTGAAAAACAATTACGAGAAAACGTTTTTTGCAAAGAAAACAATGACAAGGTTACAGCAAAGTTAACAGAATACTTTTTGCTCGAATGATAACATGATGATCCTATGCAATTTTAAATAGATGGTCTGTTCACCATAAGTAATCGTATGTTTACCATAAGTAATCGTATGTTCACCAAAGTTATGCGACAAATCAACTGTAAATATTATAGGTTAACTAACTAAAAGGTACAAAACTATTACAATATTTTCAGCGAACAGTTGTTATTCGACTGTCTTGCAGTAATTTTTTACAAAAGCTGAACAAATGTAAAGTAATCGTTTAAGTTGTTATAGTAATCTAAGTTTACATAGTAATTTAAGGTTGTGTAGTTGTTGAAATGAAAAAGGAGTCTGTAGGAAAAGGTTTGAGCAGTTTCGAGTTTTCTTGATGGGAGGAAACACCCGGTCACTTCCGGTTATTGTAACCTTTCTCTAAACTTTACAATAGCTTTTATAACTTTTGGGTACATTGGTCAAAAAGAAACTTAAATTTGCGATAAATGCAGCAACATAAGCAGGCGTGGGTGATAAATAGAATTAAAAAAAACTTCTAAATGTAATTTTATAATAAGATATATAGAAATAATTTATAACATAACCAAATTTATTTGAGTAACTAATACTGAAGACACATTTACCTTGCTTAACATAGCTAAGTCGATGACAAGTGATGGTAAATACCTACCGAAACAAAAGTGATTTAAATAACGTCATTTTAAGATTCGTAAAAGAAAATTAATTTTTGAGTCATCCAAGACCGAAAAGCGAAATAAATTACAAAAAGTGTTAACTACTGGTTTTACACTTTTGGTTTCCAAGATACGTATGAGATGAGGAAGGAACAGTTTTGCAAATTTTGGCACTATAAAACGATATTTTTGCAAAACAGGTGATCAACAAGTGAATTTTAGTTTATATGTGACTTAAAAAGGTTAAACATTACATTGTTTTGATATGATAAATTTTTTGGACATACGTATATGTATATTCCAAGTATTTGTTTTTAAAAACACTGTATCAGCATATTTTAGTATTCATACAACATGTCACTATTGTCATCATTGTCACTTCTCGGAAACGTACTATTTTAACCACCATTCCTTGAAACATTCTCACCGAACGTATGTTAATGATATTTGAATATAACACATTTACTTTCTAAATTGCGTTATCTTTTTTTAAACTTTACTGTTTTCTAGTCCCAGCTGTGATTTCTGTCTGTCTAAACTATTTTTAAAATGTAAACCGTAATACTTTTGAAAATATATGTCTAGCTGTGTCAGTTGTCGTAATGTAATTGAGTAAGGCTTAAACTTGTTTTGGACTACCGTTTTTAGCTTTTTGTTTTGGTACAATTTGCTGAGTAACATGTAAGTATGTTTAGGTGTGTCACATTACAAAAGGGCTTTAACATAGTATTTTTACGTGGGTATTGTTTACTTTTAGATTAGTCATAAGTCGCTTTGGTATGATACTGTTTATTTTTGGATTAGTTATATTTTTTTATAAGACTACAAGTTTAAGTAAGGCGTAGTATGTCATGTCTATATTATCCAATTGAATATTATTGTTACAAAATTTGTATACATCGCTCAGTAGACTATTGTAGTACAAGAATTAATAATATTTTGGCGTGGGTGAAGCTCTGAAATGTAATGTCGTTTTATTTTCCCGGGGTTTATTTGCCAAAATACAGCAGATTTCTTCGCAGGGAATAGTAAAACTTGTTGACGTACTATATTCCGCCGACTAAATCATTTTTATAAATCAGGAACAATTCCATGTCATGCTTGGGGATTCGTCACGGAGTAAGGCGTTTTACAGTATGGAATAAGCTGGTAATGGGGCTGTGGATTGGTCTGTATGTGTTGTGGGTTTATAGTAATAGTTTAGATGACTTTTGAGGTATGGTAATTAGTTTTTGAAGGCGAAAACTTACTTTGCTGTTTGGTAGGGAATTATTAATATTATCACTAAAAGTTTTAAAAACTTTTAAAAAATGTAGGTTTGCAAAACGCGTAGGCTAGACAAACTGATGACCTTAGCAAAACTTCTAGCACTCAAAACGTAACATATGCTTACCGTAACCCATTGTGTTCAAGTTCACGGTTCAAAGTTTGAAAGGACTATTACCAGCCGGCTGAATGGATTTCCTTTTTTTGTTTTCTTTCAGTGACAAATTAAAAATTCATGTAGGAAGCGCATCAAATTTTCATGATGCGTCTCGGAAAATTTTAATTCTTGTGCCAATCCCTGATTATAATTAGTTCCACGTAGTATTTACACCCTACAGAAGTTTTATTTATTCCGGGACGGTGGCACTTGGTTCTTGAGGATAGGTTCACAACAATATTTTCAAGTTTTGGCAAGGAACTGTTGGACTAAGTTGACGTATAGGGCAACGAAACATAGGGTATAGTACAAGAACACAATAAGCTACAATATTTTACGAGTGGATACTAAAAGATATTATAATTACTCTTTTAGAAGCACTTTCTATTTTACTATAATATAAGATACGGTAATGCATAACTGATCAGTATAATAATAGTGCATAAATCATGATGTATTTATTTACTTTGTCGCAAAGTTGGCGACGAAATAAACTAAACTATGAAGGTTTATGCTAATTTTTGTTGACGCTTGTCTGCCATTGGAAAAGCATTGTAGTATGCGTACTCTTTAATGTATTCTGTTATTCAATGGATATACGTGTCTCATTTTAGGCTTGGCTTGCTAGTTGGGCTGGGCTGTCAAAATTATTAAAAATAGCGCGAGCCGAATCGTCTTCCTTGGATAACCTGTGACAAAGCAGACTAGTTCCGGTTATTCAAGGAGCCATGTGTAGGATTACCTTACTAATTATAAAACTAAGTAAAGTTCTAGAACAATAACATAATCATCGAGTCATGGAATCTCAAAAATTTTATGAATTTTCTTCCAAGTAAAAGACTACTAAAGAGAGATTAAATAACTTACAGATTACAGTTATTCCCATTAATATAGTAAGCTTTAAAACAACATTCTTAGATTTTTAATTGCGTATGTTGGCAAATAGTGAGAAATGGCGTTATATCATGTGGAATGCAACAGCGATTTTTGGAAAAGCTTTTTGGAAACGTTGTTGTACTAAAAATTTTTGAAAATCTGGTTGTACTGCACGAGTTTGTGTGTTTATTGCTTGGTACATTTACCTTATAGCTTTGCATCGACTCATTTGTGTCTATGGTTTGTTATGGTAGTATTGATTGGTCAGTGACTTATGTATCACTTGACAACATTCGCTTGGGCTTATACCAACTTAATTGGAGTTTCAGTAACAATGCCAAAACATTATTGACCTGAAACCTTACATACTACACGCAATGCAGTAATGAAAAACTTTTGAAATTAATGGCGAATTAAAATACTTAGTTGTACTTTGAGTACGTGCGATTTAACTTTCTTGTTAATCTTATGGATTGTGACGCAAAAAAGAATTCCAAGATTTACTGAAATTTTAAAATTATTTTAAAAATTTAGAGATTCCT